GAAAAAGTACATTCGCGAACTCTCATAAAAATGGTATGAGCCTTGATCCTTCATCTTTTTTGAACTTCTAAGAAAAGGTTACTTTTTTATCGACTTTTTTCTTCAGCCCGAAATCGACTTTTTAATTAAGCATTTTTCACGAATTTTTCTATTGCCATCTGAAAAAAATATATTGTTTTGCGCTCAGTAAAAATGAATTGCCTTTAATTTTTTTTGTGACGTTTTACGGTTTAAATAATACAAATTTGGGCAATTTTGGGACAGCTCACAAAAATATTTTTTACTAACTTTCAAAAAATTCGGCCCAGAAAACATACAGAACATAACTAAGGCACACTTATTGGTCCGAATAAAGCGGCAGTTGATGAAAACTTTTTCGTAGTTCACATTAGATGTTAGGAAGATCAAAAATTTTTTTTTTTTTTAATTTTAAGATTTGTCTAGAAAGCTATTCACGTTAGATACCGAAAAAACATTAAAGGTTTTCACCTGCAATGAGCAATTTTATTTATAATTCTTTTCGTAAATCTCACATTCAAGTGCTGTTTTCTTCAAAACTGAATGTTTTTAATATGAATTTGAATTATTGCTGCATTTTAATTTGACAAAAAAAAATTAAATTTTTGAAACAAAAAACATAATCAAACTGTAGTTTTAAAACCAAAATGCTCGGATCAAGGTGACGCCATAAAAATTTTGACTATCGGTTAAAGTCTACTAACTAGTGTTTGATTTAAAACATCGACAAAATTTTCAAAGCTGAATTGAAAAGATTTTTTGAAAAGGTTGGAAATTTCACGCGCTATTTAAGGTAAATAATGATACCAAATTGGTCATTTTCAAACTCTCATAACTATGCAAAAACTGTTCGCAGGTAAAAATTGTGACATTTGATTTAAGCCCATTGCATCATTAAATAGTTTAGTGGATATTAAAAATCCCATCAAAAACGTTTAGTTAAAAAATCAAAATTTCGGAAATAACCACCCCGAGCATAGATATTCCGTCCCTTCAAAAGTTAGAATAATAAGTTCGGCTGGCAAAATATCGCAAAATTCTTGCAATATATTGCGTGTATAAAAAAGTAAGGGATGCGTTGACAAAAATGATTTGCCTTGGGTAAAACAGCTTTCTTTTGCCAGTTAAAATATCAAAAAATTAAACGAGATGGTGATTATTTGGGACAAAATTGGGCAAAAAAATAGTTCAAGCAAGAGTTCCATGTTGGTGTGCAAGTAAAACATGCTATATTGTAGCCCCAGTGATTAGTTCAAAAAATGCGGCTGTTTTTTTTTGAGGACGGCGCTTAGTTAAGTTCTAAGAGGTAGTTAATAACAGCTTATTGATCGTATAGAATTGCTCCTTGTCCTCTGAAAGAATTGCTTTTAGTCGCATTCACTCTATACTGGGTTTTCCTCCATAATGGACTGCAATTGAAATCGGGGAACCTCTAACTGCACTTTTATCTTTTCCATCTTGAAACTCCTAGCTGAGACAAATTTGAAAAGGAATGGTTGGTCTTCGTTTAATGCCTTTTTTAGAAAAAATCGGGGGGGGGGGGGGGGGGGGGGAATGATAGATTGCTAAGACATTAGAGGGTAACACAAAAGATTTGTGTAGGATAAATCGTAAAAGGTAACGCGTAAAATGGTTCATACTTTGGAAAAATCTATTTGTGCTTTGTTTTTCTTTATCCTTTGGCAGATTAGAATTTGATTGAAGTTCGCTTCTCAAAAGCTTAAATGAGATAAAGCAAAGACTGCTCGTACCAGGGGCAAGCCTTGAATATTTCCAACGAATGTCCTTTAACGTCTACGTTTTTGATAAATTTTTTCAATAGATCTAAAAACTGATGAAAACTTAAGAAAAAAAAATTGACTGCTTTTTCAATTTTTTTTTCTGTAAATCCGCCCACGAGCTATGTAAATTAAACAGCGACTTGTTTAGAATGTTATAACGTATTATCAAGACCAACAGCTTGCTTCAAATCAGTTTGGGCCAAAATCTGAGTCGGATCGAAACTGTGATCATTTTCAGTAAATTTCAATTAGTTTTAAAGTTTTTAGCTACAAGGTCGGACTATTTAATTTTGAAATTTAAATAAAAAGTTTAATACTCAAAGGCACAATCGAATTATTTTCAAATTAAACTCAGGCAAGTTCCCATTGTTGTTTGCATTAATCAATTTTTACTAATTAGTTCGGAATAATGACTGTGGGTGGATGCGCTTAAACATAGAAAAAATAACCTAGAAGGTCAAGAAAAGTTAAGGCAAAGTCGAAACATTCAGGACATTCCCCTCATACAAGCAGTCTTATTATGTTTACAAATCAACAATTTTTTGAACCATTTGCGAAGAAATGTTGCAATGTTGCAAGTTGTAATGAAAAAATACTCCGTATATGTCATAAGTAAATAATATTTTTGACCGTAGCTTTTCTATATTCCGGTTTTCACTCTAAAACCAAAATTGGTTCAATGGTTCTGCAAGTGCAATGTACAATGGTGCTGGATATCAATTAAGCCAAGATAAAGATTAAAAAACTCAAACGCTTACAATAATGTTTGCATCGAAAAGAACCTCGAAAATTCCGACAGCCCTTTAAGGTGTCTGAATCAGTTTTAAAAATAAATCAAAAAATTCAAAGAATAAAAGTGAAAATTTTGTTCTTAGCAAATAACTACAAGCAATCAATCCTCGTTCTGCAGGCACAATTAGGTACAAAAATCAAATCATTTGGATTATTTAGCATAACTCAATTCAATTTTGAATATATTTGATACAAATTAGTTCGACTTTTACGCAATTTGAATTTAAAAAAATTGCTGCAAAACGCAATTTAATTATTCCAATTAAGGCAATTTTCAAAAACAAAAAGTTTGAGAATAATTACCAAAATTGCTATAATTGCACATTTTTCTGCTCAGGGCTTTTGTATCTTTCAATTTGTTATAAAAGTTCAAAAACTAATAATTAAAAATCAAAGTTTGTCTGAAAAAAACACCATTTTCTTAATCCATTTTGTTTTCTATCGTCGTTCATGAATTATACTTTTTTTAAGAATTGTAAATGACACAATAGATGTTTATATTTACTCAAAGCTCTAAGCTTTTGGTTGAAGTTTTACCACAATTTTGAAAAAAAATTGATAATTGAAATATGCTTTCACATAAGGGAAACTTAATTTGTATCAATTGTGTTTTCTCTACTTGCAATGCAACAAAGCTGCTAGTAGAAGGGCAAAGCCTTGAAAGTTCCGACTGCCTTTTATGGTCTATGGAGCATTAATAGCATAAAATCATTAAATGTAAAAAGAAATGAACTTTTTTTAAATTTGATATTTATTTTGTAAAAATCATCCCCCCACACGCCATATAAAGCGCAAAGTGATAAATTCCGCTCGTAGTAAAATATCAATTATGGCAAATGATCTTCCTTCAATCAATTTGGAATGATTTCCAAGACGGATTAATTCTACGCTTAAGCGTTAATAGCGCAAAACATATTGCGCGTTAATTGTCCCAAATTGGCCAAAATGGCAATCTTAAAACCCCCATAACCTTCCGAAAAAAAATCACAGGTAAAATATCAATTCAAATTTAAGCTCAAGACAACAATACATTTCGAATTATCTACAAAATTCCGTCAAAATGGCTAGTTAAAAAGTCGAAATTTATATGAAAAAAAAACCACCTCGAGCACAAAAATTCCGTTACTCTTGTTACGAAAGTCGGAACAATGAACTAGAGGTTATAACTGGTGATAGAAGATTTGTCAATGATGTTTTTGAATAGATCTGAGGGACAAGATGCTTAAGGAAAAAAATCTGTATATATCAGACACAAAATATATCGTTTTGTTTTTTAGTTTTCGTTAAAACAGAAAAAAGAGTTTTTTTTGTAACACTTACAAGATTTTTTTCGCGCATCATGAGCTGTTTTGTGAAAAAAAGTCTCGGAACCGAGACTGTGGTACTTTTCTTAAGAAGGCATTGGATCGATGAATAGCTCTTTTCTTTTATTGAGCAATCTGAAACCGAGTGAAAAAATTAATTACTCTACGTTGAAAGTGATTCATGACGAGGCCAAACTGTACACTGGATGGGTGCATAATTTTGTGTCGCAAAATATGTTCCTGAATTCCAGAAGGAGCGTCCTTGTTGCGGAATCCGCTGACATTTCACAAAATGCACAGTTTGGCCTTGTAATGTTTTTTGGAGAAAATAGTGAAATATTTTTTGTTAAATTTAGCACATTTTCGCTGAAAATTAATGGGGGTTTGAAAATTGACAGTTGATCCTATTACAGCGAACACGGCGCATAATCCCACTTAGAAATCATGCCACATTGGATTGAAGCAAGATGATTGATCAAATCGATACGTTATTAGATGCAAAATTTATCACTTTGTACTTAACATAGCGTGTGGGAGAAAGATGTTCATTGTTTTTTTTGTGTAATATTATCAATTTATCTGTACCAATTGTTCCATATATGGTATAACAGTTCATATATGGTACAATCTCGAATTACGGACCAAATTAAACATCAGATATTTTGAAGGACAATTGAAAGATTCAGGGCTTTGTTTTGCTGCGGTAAGTCTTGCTAGGGACAAATTTTATTTCTTAAAGGGCATCAAAGTTATGTTGAAATGAACTATCACATTCAAGTAAACTCGAAGAATCACCGACTTAACTCCCCCAACTTTTTGAGTCAAAACTGACTACTTTTGAACATTACTTGCAAGAAATCTGGTTTAAAATTGTTGGTCATACCGCTTATGTCTTATCTAAAATTAGTCATAAATTTTTGCCCCCCCCCCCCCCTCTCTCTTTACTAGGTACGTCATTGAATATTTTTTAAAGGGGGTGGTTATTTGTTTCGTTACTAAATGCCCGAGGGGGTACTTAGCAGCAGGAAGGGAGTGGATGGGGGACGGGATGGGGGACGGGGGACGGGGGAGATTAGAAGAGATCTCGCAGTAGCTTAGTATTTACCTGAGACACCCGCATAGAATGCTCAATGACAATTTACGGGCCAAATTAAACAGCAGCGTTAGTAGTCCGGGAACTGAAAATCAAATAAGGAAGAATTATCCAAAGAAAAAGAAAACAAACAACATAAACAGGAGCTTTTTAAATGTTATACCAACAAATTCTTTTTAAAATAAGAAATGACTTCAGGAAACTTTAAGAGACGTGGGTTTGAACATCAAACAGAGGAAAATCAACCACCAATAGCAAAATACAATCAACGGAAATATAAATAAAGTACGGGGGTTCATTTTTTTGTTTGTTTATTTGTCGCTTAAGCAAGCAAATAAGCAATAAGTCAACGTAATTTGGGGAAATTTAAGAGTGGTGTTTTATTAGACATTTTTTTTCGATTTATGCAGGCCCAGGTATGAAATGATTTTTTTCAATATAATGCAAAAAAGAGGGTATCTGCAAATGGTAATTTTTGCGTTTTTGTCAGTTGTTTTTATTTATTTGACGGTAGGGAATTGAGAACAGCGTTCAAATTAATAGGCTGTTCAAATCAGCTTTAGAAAAAGAAAAGAGCTGCTTCTAATAAACCACGGAAGGGGAACTCTAACTGTTACGGTGGAGCAGCACTATAGTTAGCTTGGTAAGGTTAAGGTAAGTATTGTATGGTGGAAAGAGTAGCTTGCTATTTATTATTTGGTAACGGTTAAAGGTGCTAGCGGAAGATTGAAATCTATTCAATACCGGTATAATTCTCAATACATCACACACGCACTAATACACAGCACAGCACATTCAGCCGTTTCCTTACTTTTTTTTTCCTTTTTTTACCTTTTTCCTTACTTTCTGCGTGTTCCTTAGTTTTCTTCATTTTTCATTCACAATCACCTGGAAACGCACCCTTGGTATTTTCTGCACTGAGAAGATGCATAAGATTTAGAAAGACATGCCATGTCAATCGCAAGGCGGTTCAGTCTTTTGTCTTTTTTGTTGCTGTCATAGCAGAAGCTGAAAAAACCTACATGATAACTTGCCCACAATTGACCCATGGCATCAGTGCAATTTTTTAAGTGAATCTAGAATCAATCGAGAAAAAAGTGAATTGAAAACATCAAATTGAAATCGGGACGCAAATTGCTAATTCAAATTTAAATTGGCACTCTTTCATTCTGAAATACGTCAATACGTCTTTTTCAATGAAAAAAAAAAACGACACATCGAAAATAACCACTTTTTAAAGAGTACTCTTACTATTTATAATTGCACTTACTGTCTCAAAATAATTTCTTTAGGAAAGAAAAGCTTCCGTTTTTGAAGGTTTTGATCAAAAGTGCGCGAAAGAAGGCTGTTGTATAAAAACTATTGAATTTAAACCCTTTTTAGGCGGTAGTATGCCGGTAAAAAAAAGATGTAATAGCACACGAAAGGGGCGGACCAGACAAGTAATCCGAAAAGGCATAATTCAATTAGGTAAACTGAGTAATTGAAGACCGACGAATTTTTTTACATTATGACGAATTTTTTGTGAAAGTAAAAACTGAAACAAAAAATAGAATCAATTTATCCTTTTTACGGGCCCTGGAGTTTGAACCTTAATTTTTCTTTTGGTGAAAAAATCCGATCTATAAATTTTTAATTCGACAAAAGATGTAAACAACACGTAATTCTGATTGCTCGTCAAGTAATACAATAAAAAAACTGATTGTTTTTCACTCCCGTTTTTCCTATGGACAGTATGTTTTCCACTTGAGTGGCTCAAAAAGTTTATAGTTAGTTTTCAGTTTCTGTTATCCAGCATATCATGATTTTAAAAAACCTCTTGACAAAAAGTTGTGATCAATCAAAATTATGGGATTAACTAACAAGACTGCTCATATCAGAGCAAAACATTGAATTTTCTGAATGTCCATAAACAGTTCTCGAACATTTTTTGGTTACTGAAACATTGACAAACAATGAGTTTTGAGCTGAATAATAAGAGTCGTGAAAAAAATTAGTCAGACCAAATAGTTCTCTTAAAATCAGGGTAACCACGAAGTTCCATGGATCGATACCCCGAGAGAAATTTTTTTCAGAAGTTGGCAAAAAACACCCCAAGCATATATATTCCTTACTTTCTTCGAAAGTAGGAACAAAAAAGCAAGAGGGGCAAGGCAGCGTGAGGCAAAGAGAGGCAAGGCAGTGGAAGGTAAGGCAGGGCAAGGAGGGATATGCAGGAAGTTCAGAGGAAGGCATTGTAACGAGGGGCGGGCAGCGCAAGGCAAGAAACATGGCAGGGCAGTGCAAAAAAAGGCGGGTTAGCACATGTTAAGCAAGGGTGGTGCAAGGCAAGGAAAGGCAGAACAGCGCAAGAAAACGCAGCGCAGGGCCGCAAAAAGAGAGGCAAGACAAAAAGTATGGCAGTGCAAAACGAAGCAGTGCAAGATTGAGCATTTCAAGGTAGAGCAGCGCAGCACAGTGCCATGCAAGGTAGCACATAGCAAAAAGCTCGGCAGGGCAACGCAAGGTAAGGCGGCGTAGGGAGAAGTGTAAGGTGGGGCAGGGCATGAAGGGGTATGCATGGAGGTCAGCAGAAAGGAAGGCAAGGCAAGGAGGCGCGGGGAAGCGCAAGGCAAGGAGGAGCTTGACAGGGCAGCACAAAGCAAGGCGGGGTACCGCAAGGCAAGCAAGCGTAGTTCAAGGCAAGGAAAGGCAGAAGACAGCAACACAAGGCAGCAAAAGGATGAGTAAGGCAAGGAGTATGGCAGCGCAAAGCATGGCAGCGCAAAACGAGGCAAAGTAGAGCAGGACAGCCCAAGGAAAGGCAGCGCGGGGCAGCTGAAGAAAAGGCAAACAGGAAAAAGAGTAGTGCAGGGCCGCGCAGCGCAAAAAATGATCGGCAGAGCAAGGGAGAGCCATGCAATGCAAGGTAATGCAGGTTAGTGCAAGCAAACATGATAAATTTTAATTTAAGGTCTTCATTATGGCAGTTTTTTTTACTATTACAACAACGAGATGATTAAAACCCACCTAATGTTTTAAAATCGAGCTGAGTTTCTTTTGTTAATGGGCGCAGGGGGGATATGCGATAAAGGGGACCCCAGGTCCTACTGAACTTAACTTAAATGCTCAGTTTTGGTGATCATAAACCAAACAAAAATTACTATTTTTAAAAGTTCTTCAATAAAAAATCGCATTGTTTAGAAGATACAACTACATTACTCCTGCTACGTTAAACTTGCTTCTGAAAGTTGTTTAGTTAATCCGGATCTTTTTTCCTTAACATGTTCAGTAATGATCAAACATAATGGAAGAGATTCGTGTCAGACGCTTTAATGAAAATGAGTTTTATCAAAACAATTTGTTTATCAAAATAATTCAACATGTTTTAATTTATTTATCTAGAATGGCTCGCAATAAGCCCTCTTTCGCGAATACTTTGAAACTTTGAAACTGAATTATTCATGCTTACAATATTGAGATAATGATTGCAATTAAAATGGATTGACAATAGATAGAGGGGGCATAGAATGCATGGAATAATTAGTTGTTTACAATCAGTTTCTAATTTTCTGGATTTAGAATCTTCGAATGTGATGGAATAAATTGCTTTTTGCACATTTCTGTCCTCGCAAACACCATTCTCGTTTTCTAGTGGAGTCGTGATGGTCGTTGATACTCTTCCAGCAGCATCCCTGATGTCTCTATCCTCTCCCAAGTTTTCCAGCATTCTGTTGCATGAGAGAGTCTAAAGAATGTATGGCTCGCAGACTTGGAGGTAGCAACTGGATAGCTTTCTTCTGTTGGGAATTGAGAGTTTGTTTTTGAGATGGTGTCAAAGAGTAATAGAAAAGACTTGAACAGTATGTCAGAATCGGCAGTATAAAAGATTGATAGCTCAAATTCTGCAGCTCTCCTATATATACGCTTTGCTTAAGGACCTACATGTGGTACAGGCATGAGTTCAACTTTGATCTCATCTTGTGAATATGCTTATCCCAATTGAGTATTTTGGTATTTGGCATCCATGCAATTTTACTTCATCAACTTCTTGAATGTTAACACCATTGGTTATCAGACTATGGTTCTTCGATTTTTCCTCATGCTGAAATTCATTAATTTTGTTTTTCCAGTGTTAATGACCAAGCATTTTTCTTCAATCTGTCGAATCATCTTCTTTGCTGCGACATCAAGACATTTTTGGTTTTCCGCCTCTATCGTAAAGACAATCTGCAAACTTCACTAGCAGGGCTTTCGTGCACGAGATATTTTGAATATACATAGCAAACAAAATGGGCCCTAGAGCACTTCCTTGAGGTACTCCAGTTGTCATTGCATATACCTGTTCGCAATTAAGAATCACAAACTCAGGATCTACTAACAGCTGAACAGCAATTCCAATAACACTAGTATCACCCAAACTCAAAAGTAATTCTATTAGTTTTCTGTGCGCTATAGAATCAATTGCGGCCGATATATCAAGTAAAAGAATGATTGGGTCCACCGTGTCATCAATATGCTTCGTTACCAGATCAGTTATTTGGATAAGTGCAGTTTCTGTGTTGCGTTTTGCCGTATACGCATGTTGGTTCTTGTCCGCAAGCAGTTTCTGCAGTTCTGTTGCGACCATTGATTCAAAGATAGCAGGAATAGCCGATATTATGGTTATCGGTCTGTAATCCTTCTCTGATGTTGGAAACTTGGTTTTCGGGATCGGCAGATTTTTGCTCGTTTCCACAGTATCGGTACTTCAATTGTTGCTAGAATCATGTGGAAAATGTGGATTAGTGGTTTGGCTAGTATATTCACATATCGCTTCACAAACTTTTTTGAAACACCATCTACACCGAATTGATTCAGGCCATCAAAAAATCCATGTGTAAAAATTCTTTTGCTAAAAAATTTGAGTTTATGGCTTGAAATTTCTAGCTATCAATTTATAATGAACTTGTTTTCAAATTTAAATACTCGACTGTTTTTCAATAACGAAGGCTTCGAAGGATAACGAAAATATCCAGTTGTTTAATCCAGTGGAACAAATTGCCTTCACGTGTTGCGAAATAATTCATCCTTTATAAAAACAACTGGAAACGATTGTTCAAAGTTCAGTTTCTTGATAGTTTTTTGATATCTTAATAACTCGCTTTACAAAATCTTTGAATTTTTCCGCCTACCAAAATTTTCCAAATCCCTTCAGGCCAGCAAACATCTTTCTTGGGTAATTTTTCAAAACACGCAGGTCAGTTTAGGCAAACAGATCCAGTTGAAATGGGAAATTTCCATGGTTGAGTAGCTGGCTTCAGAAAAAAAAAATTCAGTTTTGCAAAAGATTTTCAGCCATCAAATAACCTTGAAAAGTTTTAGTTTTCTTGGCGGGGTGATTGCTTCAAAAAGCTGATCTTTTTTTAGTAAACCATTGCGAGCTATGCAATTAACTTGGTATATTCGAGTTTTTTTTTGCATCATTAGCTTGCTTCAATCACAACTGTTGCGAACCTGTTGAAGCCATCAACTTGAATTGAACTCAAATAGTGCCACTGCTAAGTTTTTTAAGTTAAAATAAGACCTAAATTTAATTTTTGATCTTTGATTTTGAAAGCTTTCATCACGTCTCTTCATTCAGAAACACACTTGAAAACACCCACTTTTCAATTTCGATGGTTTCAGTTTTGAATGGACAAAGGGCCGTTATAATTGAAATTTAATTTTGAGCGGTAGTATTCTGTGAAATCATTTATCTTTCAAACAAAAACGCAGAGACCAGACTACTTAACGGAAACGCATAACTCAATTACGTAATGACAATAATGGAAGAATGAGTTTCATTCAACATAAAAAAGATTTATTCACAGAAAGCAGAAAAAATCAATAAATTCTTTTCATGGGCACAGAAGTTTAAACTTTGTTGTTCTATTTCTTTTAAAAATCATTTTGTGTCTTTCTTTCCGCACTTGATCTAATAATGACATAATTATTTTTGCTCATCTAAAAACTAACTGAAACTTTTTCGCCAACCAGCGACAGTACTTTTTCAGCATGGGCGTTTCAAAAGTAATGTGTTCAATTCATCTCACGAAAAATCTTGAGTGGTTAGACTCACTTTTTTTAGTCATGCAAAAGTTTTGGGTTAACAAAAATTTGGGGTTCAAAAAGTATTCACTTTTCCGTAATTTTAGATAAGTTCCAAAAACTATCGGGATCATTTTCTCATACTTAAGAATCATATGACAGGCAATTACTTGTCTGGAATTATTTGACAATTATTTTCATAATTAAAATTTCTAAATTATGTGGACAACCAAGAAAAATACCTATCTTTTGACTTTTATGATTTTCTTTTTTAGTTCGTAATGTAACTTCGGTTGTGAAAAAACTTCGCTTGGTTAAAATTGAGGTTTCATAGAGGCTATTGAAAAAAATATATATATATATACTTTTGAATGGTAGTAGTTCAGTAAAAATGATTTACCATTAAATCAAAAACTGGTGGACCAATCCATTAAAAAACCTATAATTATATTGCCTTAGCACAAAAATGCTCCTATGAGGGGTTGTTGGGATGGATGGAGGTAGGCGACTGCCGACCTTTCTTGCATTTGTTTTTGTCAGACAATCCCACACAGATAAAAAAACTCTTTTCTATCAAACAGAAGAGCGATTGTTTGCAAACAAAAATACAAATCTTTTTTAGTTTTAGCAAACAACACTTAAGTTTCGCAAAAACTACATTAGCTTAGCAAACCTGGCCCGTTTTGGTAAGACCGCTTTTGAGTCATTGAAAATCTATTCGTTTTTTAAAACATTTAGTTTGTTTTGAAGTTTGACGCATTCATTTGCTTTGATTGATTATTCATTTTTTTGCAAATTTGAAATTTTTTTTTAATCGAAATTTTTTGTCGTTGAACAATTTTGCAAGAAGTTACTAGTAGATTGAGTTTTCACCAGCTGTAATCTTTCGGTCCAGCTTTTTAAGGCAAAGGATTTTTTCTTACGCAAAAAAAATATTAGATTATTTCAAGACAAAACATTAAATTTTAGCTTTATATAACCTTGCTTGAGCGCAAACTGCAATAGATTTTTGTTATGACGCAAAATTTAAACTAGTGAAATTTGTTTTAATCCAATTTAGTGAAACTTACCAACAAAATTTGGCAAACTTTGGCTGCCTTTTGAAAAACTAAAACATCAAGAAGTAAAAGGAAATTTTTGAAAACGATTTTTCAGAAACACTGTATTCAATCGCTATACGACTCAATTTTTAATACTTGAAAATATTAAGTGGGCTGCTGGGAGACAAAAACGAGAAACTCAAAAATTTCAAACTATTGAAGTTTTCTTTATCAGAGCGAATTGAGACCAGTTTAAGGGTTTTTGGAGACTAGTCGGAATGATCAATGCCTGGCTCTGATATACCAGCAGTCTTTTTTTATTAATTCAAAAATTAATTAATACGCGTTTAGTCGTGTGCGTCTTTTAATTCAGGGCGGCTTCGATTCTGTACAAAAGCTATTTTTTTTACATCAAACTTAAAAAATTACAAGGGGAACCAGTTGCGCGCAATCTTCAGAAAACAAGTTTCAAAAAAAGAAATTGCCATAAGACTTGTTCAACATGTTTCATTGTTTTTTCTTTTCTTTAATACGTGTCTGAGGATTGCGCTCAACTGGCTCACTTTATAACTTTTTCAAGTTTGATTCAAAATAGTAACTTTTGTTACAGAATCAAAGCAGCCCACAATTAAAAAATGCACTCGATTAAGACTTCATCAACTTTTGAATTAGCAAAAAAGAAGACTGCTGGTATATCAAAGCCAGGCCACTAATCATTCTGAATAGTCTCTGAAATCCCTTTACTGGTCTCAAATAGTTCTGAAAAAGAAAAATTTGAAAATTTGAAATAGTCCCCAAACGGCCCACTCACTATTTTTAAGTTTTAAAGTTCGAGTCTTATAGCGATTGAAAACAGCGTTTCTGAAATATCTTTCTGAAAATCTTTTCTTACTTCATTGATTTTTTATTTTCAAAAAAAAAATTCAAGAGAAATTTAAAAATCATCGGTATTTTTCCTATATTTTTGAAAAAATACCGATGATTGTTTAACTTTAGAAAAAAAATGCCTGCTGTTCTTTTAAAAGACGACTGAGAAAAATTGAACCATTACGAGGCCAAACTGTGCATTGTAAGCGGATTCCGCAACAAGGATGCTCCCTTTGTTCTTCTTTTGTTCGTTACTTTCCTTTGATCGTTCCGACAAAATTTTAACATGTTTAAAGACTTGTCTGTGGAATCCAGGAACATACAGACAGAAAATTGTGCGCCTATCCAGTGCACAATTTGGCCTCGTAATATCAGAAGAGGTAATAGCAGGTAAGAATAAGGCATTATTAGAATAAAACTAATTTTAAACTAATTTGTCTAATGTGGTCTCAAAACCGAGAATTAAAAAAAAACTTTTCCTCCTGAAACAACCACCAGCGGATTTGGGTAGGGGATGGGGTGGCGGTCTCCCTCTTCCTTTCTTATGGTTTTTCTCTAGAGTTTTTCTATAGGCGACTAAAATTTTGGCAAACTTTGAGTTTTGAGAGGCATGCGCGCGCCGAAAACAACGGAATTTTTCAGTCAACATTTTCCAAAAAGGTCCTAAAAACGCATTTTTTGGCCTGATTTTTCAAAATTTTGCCTGCGGCGCAAAAACATTGGCCACATCAAGTTTTTTTACTGCTTTCGAAGTGCTTGGAAAATCAATTTAGTCATCCTAAAAACGGTCGACAAAATTTTCGAAAAAAGCTTTTCTTGAAAATCAACCCCCCCCCTCCCTCGTGAAAATCTTAGATACGCCCCTGGAGACCCTTTTTTGATTTTATTGACCAAATTACGGCCGAAAAGGCTTTTATATGACTTCACACTTGATGTCATACGAGTTTTTTTTCAGAAAAAAGCCCACCATACTCCTTAGTTCTTCCCAACGCCCTTTAGGGGGAGGTGTGGTCGAAAAAAATAACCAAGTGAGACAAAGATTTGGCTCTCAGCGTGTTTTGCTTTTTGCTGATTCAAGCTCTGTTAATTGCTTAGACATTTCCAAATTATAGCTTTACAAAATAAAACAAGGGCTAACACATTAAATACAACTGTTATTCGAATGCGACATCTTCATTTCTCGAACTCAGAATAAGTCGATTTTGCTCGTTCTAGTTTTTTCTTTTGTTTCTTCTGCGGCACTCTTGTTTGTTATTGTTCTGCTTCTCCCGTTGTCTGTTCATTTTGTCCACAATGCCAGTGTATCTCTCCCTGAGGAAGAAGGCGCCCTCCTTCGGCTGTCTCTGCCGAGTGAAGATGCCCTTCTTGTTGCCATCCACTCGTGTCACATCTGTAAACACAAACACAACTCAGTGTAAACATAAATAAACTCAATTCCTTTGAAAAGAAGGATTCCATTTAGTTGTTAAACAGGATACAATCATGAGATCTCTTTAACTATACCCCCCCCCCCCCCCTCGGGTACCTTGGAACGAATATCCCCATTTAAAAAAACAAATCAACGGTGAAGCATATCAGATTTTTATACCTATTAACGAAACTCCCCCCCCCCCTTGCAAAAGGTGGAATAACTCTGCTTACAGTCGGAGCTCTCCTAACACTTTGCAGCCCCTTTTTTTGTCAACGTTTTAACGTTTTCTGCAGAAAATATTCCAACAACGACATTTTTGGCCCGCTGCTCTCACGCGCTTAGACTTAAATCTAAATTGTTTATCAATTCAAAATTTGTAAATTACAGCTAAGAAAAGAAAAATTATTAAATTTGAAATATTCTGAAGCCATCATTAATTGTTGACTGAGTATTTTAAATTTTAAAACATTTATTTACATAAACTTATAGATGAACTTGGTACATTGAAATTTTTAGATAAAGGTTGTCTAAACTTAATGTTTGCTTAATTAGTATTTATACACTATTATATGTCTCGCTGTTTTCTTTAATGTCGGATACTTTATTCAGCATCTGACTAAGTTTAAGAGTATGAGCAGCGTGATCCTACCAGGCTCGGTCATGAAGTCGGCGTAATTCCAGATGAACTCTCCGACCAGGAACTCCTCCCTCATCCGGTCGAATGCCAGTCCAGTCCAGTTCAACACATTCACCTGGTACTCCTCGTTGAAGGGGGAAGCAGGCAGCTAGAGCCACAACAGAGGTTTGAAGAAAGTAATCACTAAAGCTCCTCATATTCATTTCCATGTCTACGTTTTTTTACGTATTTAACTAGAGTTTTAGCATGATATTCGAACATACAATACACACTAGCTCTCACAATTGGTCAATTACAAACAAATTTGTCTCCACCCAAAGCATCGAAAATGAAAAAATATACCACAAAAAAAAGAAATAGATCGAGTCAGTTGAACACTTCTTAAAAGTAGAATAATTTATTTCAAACACCAATTCCTCATACGAAGAAAAAGAACAATATTTGATTGCAAAAGCAAGAGTTTTACACACTTGTTTTTTTTACAAAATAAAATGTTTATATCAAAGTTTTAACAAAAGTATAGAAACTTCTTCATTGTAGGTTCCAAGATATGAGGCCGTTTTCCGAAGAAAGACTTCAAGTTAGGAAAAAATTTCGGCGACTACAGATGTCAGAGGAGTAAAAACAGCCCAGTCTCCATGGGTTCCTGATTTTCATGGCCCTTCGAAAATTTTTTGGCCTTTTGAAGAGCCTGGTTTTTCAGAAAGACGGAGTAAAAGTTTATCAAGAGTTTTTTCAGCAAAAAGATATCAGTAGTGGTCATATTACTGAGTTTTTCTTCTATTGTTTGAAAAGTTTAAGTCTTGGAAGCAGTGAACTCACAGTTTGTATCCGAATAACTAAAAACTACCACTGCTTCTGCAGAAAATTTGCGGTTTCTAGCAGTACGTAAATGACCGTTATTTTTTTGGTACAATCAAAGCTTTTGTTGATCTGAACTCCTTTTCTATATCAACAAGATAAAGTTGATATCGAAATTTCTCTGAAAGTTGACCGATCAAGTAGCAATAGCATTTTTCCCTTTATACTCGGCTTCGTTAAGAACTTAAAAACAATCCGAAGCACCAATTTTGCATTTAAACATTTCGAAATTGACTCTTCAACAAGTGATTCTATAAAGGTTCTTTGCATTTAAAATGTTCGAACTGAAACTATATAGCCTCTAAAAATTTCTTTGGCTATTTGTTCTCTAAGGTTATTTGTTCCAAAATGAAAACACGGTCCCATTTGTACCAAATTTATTCTACTCGATTTCTGATTGGTCGAAATGTGCATGCAAAAACAATGTGCATGTTGATATTTTGGAGCCATTTTCGGATAATCATTTTAGGTCTAGCTGTGACTGTCTATAGATTTGGCCTAGCAGATTTGAAAAAAAATGTTTTGACAAAATTAAAATCCGAGGTGTTATATACTTCCTATTTTCACTTAACAATTATACAAAATTGACGGTCATTTGCAGCCATGATTTTTGGAAGAGGTAAATTTATTGAGTGATTATAAGTACAAATTGTCAAACATAGTTGCATACCCACAACAATAAGCTGCATTAACCACTTTGACACTAAACGAGCACTACCGCTTTTTTATAAGAGCCCATAAAAAGCAAATCATGCTTGTTGGTAAAATGAGTACTTTAATGTTCGTCAACCAATTTAGAGAAAACAAATCAGAATGCCCATTACCTAGAAAGTTTTTTTATGAAAATTTCACTGTAGTTTCTATAAAAAAAAACTGATTTTCTTTTCATCGCCGAGTTCTATGAAATTAAATTGTGCAAATTTGATCATTTTTGTTAGCTGGAAAACCAAGCTTTTTTCATGGCGTTTGTTCTAGTATTGGGAAGGTTTAAAAGCCGTTGTGAACAAGAACAAGAAGCTCTTCGTGAGCAAAAAATGTCAAAATTCAATAGTTTTAATTCAGATGAATCGCTAAGCTGGTCAAGCATTTCTTTGAAAATTTGACAAAGGAACAATTCAAAAGTCGTTTCAATAAATTTTCATAAACGTTGTGTCGTTTTGCTGTTTGTGTAAGTTTTCGATAAATCATTGACAATTAGCGAGAAAAGAAAAAGACCTAGTATTGAACTCTGCGGCACACCAAATCTAACGATTTTACATTGAGGTTCTTTTCCATACCTGACAAGTTTTGTGCCCTCTCAAAAAATACGATTTCAAAATTTCTTCAGCTTTACTTCTAAAACCATATCGCTCTGATTTTTGCGATCAATATAGTCAAAAAAATTTTTAAGAAAAAAGTAGCATGCAAGTCCAGAATTTTTGGTGTCTATAGTTTTTCGCATTAACTCCGTTGCCTTCATCAAAGCCTGAATGCATGATCTGTTTTCTGAATCCAAACTGCTCGTCAGCATTTTTTTTATTACAAATTTTGAAAATCGATTTAAAAGCAGCTTTTCAAAAACTTGGAAAACCATTGTGAGCACACTTATTGGCCCATAATTGTTAGGGTCTTGTTTATCACTATTTTTATGTAATAGTATTTCTTTTGCAATTTTACGAGAATTCGGAAAAATCCCTGTGTCAATAATTAAAATGAAGCTGTTAGACAAAAAACTGGAGCCAAATATTTAACCCTTTCACAACTAACAACATTATGACCAGTAGACTCTTTAGTGCTAAGATTTGAACTTGTTTCAGTAGAAATGAATTCGTTTGATGAATTAGTAGATGGGCGCGTTTGCTCACAACGGAAAATTATTATGATTTTTTAAAATATAAAACTCATCTTCGAATTTACCATTCGAAATAAAAGAATCAAGCTTACTCGGTCTCTCAAAAAGTATCATACATTTTTTCGAAAGCCCTTTAATGTGATAACATTTAATCCGATTTGTTTCACAATTTTCTATTATTGTATTAAGTTTAATATTTTAATGAAAAGTATTGTGTTGCATGGGACGTTATAGTGATTTTACCATGGGCGGAGTGCAGTATATATATGTTTAGAACAGTTTTTGTTGAGTTTTTGTTGAGAGGAATATGTTTGACATCACTAAGTTTTGAACTCATTTAAACGAAATTTAAACGAAAAGCTGAGTAAATTTTAAAAAAGTATGGCGTCTTAAAGGACGTCTTAAAATCAACATAATGTTTGCAAAGAGACGAAACCAATTGAATAATTAAACATTAAAGTAACTTTCAAGAAGGGAGTAACTTTCAAGAAGGGAATTTAATTAACTGCTTTTCAAAAAAATGCAGATTGGAAGAACACCAAAAAGGCCAGTTAGCTGTCTTGCCAGTGTTGCACACCAGTACAGAAAATGAGGGTGGGTTACCTTGTGGAATCCGGGGATGGTGCCGGCTCCGTACTCCTGCATGATGACTGGTTTGTTGAACTGCAAATGGTAGTTCTTCACGTAGTGGTAAACCTCTTCGCTCATCCACTCTCCGACTGTGAGGTCATTGTACCAGCCGATGTATCTGTTCACATTCACCAGGTCACTGAACTGCAGCTAAACATACCAACGACACAAAGCGGCTTAGCTGCCGTGCAATTCGGATTTGAACCCAAATTAACAGAGCATTTGAGCAAAAAATCGTACGATCAATTAGTGACACTAATTAAAACTAAATGTTTCAAAAAGCGAGATGGACAACAATTAGTCCACTGCAAAATATAGATCCACTGCAAATCATAGATTTGTAGTCCACTGCAAATTATAGATTTATAGACCCGGGTCGAGCGCCCTTCCGCCCCCCCCCCCCGCTCCCCTGAAAGGAATATCTCTTATTGAAAAAAAACATCAAAGGCTTTTTTATTATGTTTTGGTTCTTAACTCTCCTCTCCTTCTTTCTCTTATGAGGCGGAAACACCAAAATAAATCATCATTTTTCTGCTAGGTAATTTAGAAATTCAAATAAAATATAGAGAATTTAAGTTAAAAATTGAAATTAAAAAAATCATTTTTTGGTTGCTCTCGCTATTCCTTTAAAAATTTGAATTCATTCTATCATTTGTTTTCCAAAAAAGAGAAAGTAAAAAATGTAAACTCATAATCATGGTCCGATGAAAAAAAAGAATAGATGGCATGTTGAATACATAAAAAAATGGTTCCAAATTCTCACCGCCAGATCTGTGTCGAACGACTGGTCACTCACAAAAGTGTAGGGCCGAGTGTCGTCCAAGGTTCGACTGGTGTTAAACAGCTGTCTGAAACAAACTCGTTAACGAAACAAACTCGTCTGAAACAAACTCGTTAACGAAACAAATTTGTTATTAGTAACTTTATTGTTCCGACTTTCGAAGAAAGAGAGTAATAAATATGTCTGGGGTGGTTTATCTAATCGAGACCAATTAATGGGAAGTCGGAACATTCACAGTCTTATTTAGTCTAAAAACCAAAATTTCAAACTGTTTTTTCTCAACACTGAAAAACTGAAAACTTTATCTACAGCGGTATGAATTGCGATCAAAATTCTCGTAGTAAAGTAACAGATAATCTTCAGATCTGAGCTCTGTAAAATAGTGGAATTTCAAAAACCGGTACTGATCTAACCCACGTCTTTTTTGCGCATGCATATGTCTCCATATAGACTTTGCAGTGGAAATGATAATTTGATTTCAACAGACCTGGAGGAAAAACAAATCAAAGCTGATCCGAATTCGACTTAATCTAATTCAGACAAGAATTAGACAGGCCAGACTTTATTATTGATGGATTAATCAAATAGTACATATTTTGGATCTCTTTAACTTTATCCCCCCTCGGGTACTTAGTAACAAGTATGAAGAATATGAAGAAATAAATCAACGATTAAGCATATGATAGTTTTATACCTAGCAACGAATCTCCCCTCTCTCTTTAGCAAAAGGAGGATATAGTTAAAGAGATCCTTCGAACTCGATCAAAGAATATTTAAACCTTTACTAAGTGGCAAACAGACAATTTTTTCCGACTTTCAAAGAAAGCGACGTAACAATGCCCTTGACATTCTGTTCACCGGATGTTCATGAAGTCCTTAATTAAGGGTGCCCGATTTGCATACGTTTTTAGATCCGACCAAGAACTGGGGAAAATGATGTTTTCCTTTTGTCTTTTTTTTCCGTCGTGATTTGCTTCGGTCTTGGTTTGGACTACATTATCACTTCGGAAAATATGTTGAGAGTCTCGAGGCGAACTGGACTGAATTTACTTGTAGTTCCGACTTTCGTAACGAAAGTAACGAAATATTTGTGCTCGTGATTTTTGATAGACAGTTTCGACTTATTAACTAGCTTTTTTTGACCTAATTTTTTGATATCATTCGAAAAGTTTTGTTGTTCTGAGCTTAAATTTAAAAATCTTTCACCTACGATCATTTTTCATAAAGTTAGCGGGCTTTAAAGAATGTCATTTTGGCCAATTTGGTACAATTAACGCGCGATATATTTCTTGCTATTAACGCGTAAGCGGAGATTTAATCCATCTTCGAAACCGTTCCAAATTGGTTGAAGGAAGCTTATTTGCGACAATTGGTTTGTTGCTAGGAGCAAAATCTATCACTTTGAACTTTATATTTGTACTTTATATGGCGTGTGGGGGATGATCTTCACAAAAAATTTTGCAGAAAAAAAACAGTTCATTTTCTGTTATTGAATCAATTTTTCCATATTATTGCTGCTCCATAGACCTTAAAAGGCAGTCGTACCATTTAGGGCTTCGCCCTTATATGAGCAGTCTTGTTTTTTTCTAGAGCTGAAAAAAGGAGAGTGCCGATAAAAATATTCTAGATAAATAAATAATTATATTAGTGATTTTTTAACGTCATCAATGCGGATTAACTTGTTAGTTACGTATTTTGTCTAAATTTGTGAAAGCTAATGAAGCAAAAAATGACTATATTTTTTCGCAGTTGATTCTTTTGGGTAAAACAGCCTTCTTTATTGGAAAAATTAGCCAACAGAGACAGTTGGAAAAGAGTCAATGAACGCAAGGAAACAGAAAAATAACTGACTTAAGTTTTGAAGAACTTCAATTTACGAATTTCAAACAATAAAATATATGCTCATAAAGCTCCTTCAAATTTCAAAAAAAAATTATGATTGAGACTTTTTTTGAAAAATTTAATTCAGTTTGAGAAAACTGGATCAAAAAGTAAAACTTGGATTTCGCTGAGAAATCTGATAATCAAATTCCAACTCTGATATTTCGTTTCTTGAGACCTTATATTTTTGCTGTTCGATAGTGGAGTTTGCCTACCTTTTAACAAATTAATTAAGCTGAGCTTAAAATGAAATCAAAGGTCAGACAGCAAAAAATGGAATTTGAACATGATTAAATTTCAAAAATTCTCCCGAAAAGAAAACAGAAAACCATCACGACTTATATATGAGTCTTCACTACGCGTACCGACTCCTAAAAGATAGTGAGGTTCATGTTGCATTTAGATCCACAAACTTTTTTTTTTTGCAAAAATCAATACAAAAAAAGACAAAAATGCTCTAGTCTAGAATGTCCCTAAATGTTCCGACTATCCTAATACGTAATGAAAGCTTAAAAAAACAAAAAAATTGAAAAATTCCTTTTTTTGAACAAAAATTATCTCACGTTTTTTTTCAGTACATGTTGTTCTATTTTGCATATAGAAAACTTTCAAAAAGACCAAATCAAATGCCTCAATTCATTTTAGAACACGTTCTTAGTCAATTTAAATCACCACTTGCGCGTGAACAGCAAGAAATGTACCGCGCGTTAACTGTCCCAAATACGCAATCTATAAAACCACATAAATTTACAAAAATCTTTTTGAATTTAAGTTCAAAAAATCAATACCTTTCAGATCGTATACGAAAGTTCCGCTAAACATGGCTAGATAAAAAGTCGAAGTTGGTCTGGAGAAAAAAAAACCATCCGATTACAAATTTTCCGTTGCTTTCTTCAAAAGTAGTCGGAGCGATTCCATTGATGATGGTTCCATCTTTCAAAGATATTGAGAAAAAACTCAATTTCACAATTTTTGTCGGACAGTTTTCATACAATTTGAAAGATATCGGTACTCTAAATTCAAAATATAAAATACTTCACTTGCGACTTGTAATTTGATCACTTGCGGTTTTTAAACTGATCAATTTGTTAAGATTAATATGCACCAGTTCTAAGATGCGTTAAACAGTACAAGAAAAACTTCTGTAAAATAGTCGTAAGCTCGTAAATACAAACAAATTGCAAAAAAACTCAGCAGTTACTTGCTTAATTACATGAAAGAAGTTCAGGTGAAAAGAAACCTGCTTAAATCGAATGAAAAGACTGTGTTCTACAAAAAAAAAACCGACAAAAATAGGCAGAAGCAAGATCGGCCGACATTTAATTTTTGCTTTGGTGATTCTGTTAGACAAGCTGTGAAAAATCTATGTTCCCATTTGATAACGATTGATAACTTTCAAACGTCACCATTTTAATTCTAGTTTTTTTTTGAAGTAAGTCAATATTTTACATTGAACAAGGCTTTCAATCAGTAACAAGGATAGCGGGTTGCACTGCAAGAAGCAGAGAGCGTTATGACCATGAAAATTAAAGCAAAAAAATCAAAAGTAACGAAAGATTTTATATTAAAAAATCGTTCACAAAAAGTTTCAATTTTTTTTCTAAAAACGTTTCATTGAATTTAATGCCAACTTTATTTTAGTAAAAATGACAGAATTAGGTGAAAAAGATTAATAAAAATCGAAGTAATAATACCAAAAATAACGTTGAAATTGTAACCGAATTGAATTTGGATATCAGCCAATTTCATCCAAATCTAATTTAATTGAATTTTGTGTGAAAACCGAAAATATTCAGACCAGTTGTAATAATAATAATAATCATTATAATAATAATAATAATAAAAAAAATTATAATAATAATCATAATAATAATAAAAACTTTTTCTTGACTCTGAGAGAATTTCTCTGAATATTTTTTAGAATTCTAATCAGATCAAAAAGGCTGTGATATGATACATTTGACCTCCTACAAGCTTTCTTTGGGTTAACCAAAATTGTCCAGAAAAAAACATGCCGAATCCAAAATTAATTTCCATTTTTGGGATAGCCGGAACAATAAAGCCGCACCTATTTATTTTGGCGCAAAAAATTCATATCGGAAAATATTATGGCTTTTTCCTTTTACCCCAACTTGCAATTTTCACAGGTAAATATGTAGATCACATTGTTTGATCACTGGAAAGGAAAAAGAGCCGATACTATATGCATAACCTACCCGAAATACTGTTCTGCAGCTTCTGCGTTTGAACTGGGCTCATTGGCCAGGGACCAGATGATGATTGAGGGGTGGTTCTTGTCCCTCGAGATCATCTCCCGAATACTCCTCTCGTGGGTAGACAACGTCTCCGGCAACATGTTCTGTGACCTGCAAACGACAAAACTTCTTTTTGAAATTTTAAGGGAAACCTCCACTTTTAGTAAAAGCTTCCTTCAAAAGAGTTATGTTTTTTATTTAACTTTTTCAGCCATGCTAAAACTTTTGCAGAATTTAAATTTTTTTTTTTGAAGAATGCACTAAAAGATCACAACAAACACGAGGACGAGATTCTTTAATCAAGGCCTGAAGTATTAATTTTTTCATCTTTTGTTCATCGTAAAATATCAGTAGAAATGAAAAAAGAAAGTAAGAGAATCAAAATAAAACTTCGTTAGAAACGAACAGAAAAATTGTAAATTATAGCACTTGGTGACACAAACTTTCGATACATTTTCCGTTAGTTTTGTTAAAGTAAGCTCGTTCAATTCCCCAAATGTTCAGACTGCACTTTAACGCCAAATGAAATTTTGAGGGTCACTTATTGACGAAGCCTTTAAAAAAAGTTTTTTTTTTCATTTTTCTTCATTTTGTTCCTCCACACCTTATATAAACTACAGTGAGCGTGTTTAGCGTCTCGTACTGTGTTAATACAGTAAATTTCTGGCCTTTTTCAGATTGTAACGCTTACGCGTGTTATGAAAACTCATTATATCGCGCTTTAATTATCCCAAAATGACCAAGTTAGCAACCCACATAACGATACAAAAACATTACGAGGCCCAACTGTGCAGTTTGTGCATTGTAAGCGGATTCCGCAAAAAGGACGCTCCCTTTGTTCTTCTTTTGTTCTTTAATTTCCTTTGATCGTTCCGACAAAATTTTCACATGTTTAAAGACTTGTCTCTGGAATCCAGGAACATGCAGACACAAAATTGTGCTCCTATCCAGTGCACAGTTTGGCCTCGTAATGAAACAATCACAGCTTAAACATCTTTTTGATATCGAGCTCAAGCAACAATATCTTGCAGATGCTGTAAAAAAAATCCGTCAAAAAGTTTAGTTAGGAAGTCGAAAATTGACTGAAATAAAAAAACAACCCAAGCATAAAAACTTCGCATTTTTTTCAAAATTCGGAACAAGAAAAATAAGAGAAAAAAATCAAAAAACTGCAGCTACACAACTTTAACCGCTTTCAAAAAAAAACATTTTTTGAGGCAATAACTTGATTTCAATTTAGCAATCTGGTCTAACATTTCTCAAACCTGGATACCAAGTAACCCCTTTTTAGTACCAATTGTTGGAACCATGTTAAAACTGGTTTCAAAGAGATAAGTAGCCATAGCGCCTGCAAAAATCAAGTTTTATTTGCAAAAAAAAATGCAAAAGGAAACGAAGTAACAACCAAGCTTCTAAATGTGGTTTAGATTTGAAGAGAAATTACTCTACCGATAGTTTACACTTGAAACCTAATCCGAACGCTATAGTTCAATTTTGCAAGCAAAATAGTTAAATTTCTCAAAATATGAACATGATCTTGAAAATATTCTTGTCAAAAAAAGATTAAATAGCTAAACTTTAATGAAATGAGAACTGGTTGTGTCTGAAAAGTTAATCTAATCTAAGCTATTTTCAAATAACGATCAATTTAGATGAAAACTTATCTAAATTTTTTAACCATCTACAATTGCGAATATACATTTTTTGTCGGCGTACAACGCAATATCTAAAGTAATTGCCACCCGTAGTCTAAACCAAGCATCACACCAAACGAGCAATCGTTCCGGGATTAAACTTTTAGAGACAGCATTTTTCGAACGCTTGTCAAGACTAGTTTTTTTACGTCTCCGAGAGGCTGCAAGAAGACGTCTTTTCTCAGAAAAATTGATAAAATTTCTATTTAAAAATATATGCAAAAAATAAAATAACAGATATTTAGTCTAAATTCGCCAAAGACTATTTGACTGTATGCCATAATACCAGCCCTTTACAACATTTGTTGTTCTGGACAAACCCGATGATGCCGCATCCCTTGACTCTATAAGGAAGGGGAGAATAGCACCTCCGTGGTTAAAGAGTAAGGGGTGTAAACATAGGGGGTTAAATAACGTGGGGTTAAAAATTGAGACACCACAAAACTGATGTCACAGCATATCAAAATTTCTTGTCCGTCTGAATTTTAATTTATACGTCCAAACTTTCAAAACAAAGCCATCTCGTATCTCTTAAGGCAAAAATAGGGTTTATTGGGTTTGAAAAATAAAATTTAGCTGGCATCATCAATCGAAGTATTCCAAAAAGAAAAAAGTAAAAACTAAGACTCTATAATCTTCTTCAATTTCCATTAGTTTAGAGATTGAACAATGCATTCAAAGTTTTTAAAATTATTTAAGACCTAACTTTTCATAAAACCCCGAGATTACAAAACGGCTTTTTGACAAGCTTCGATTTTGATTGGTAAAACTTAACCTTCTTTATCAGATACAGGGTTTGTTCTATAACTAACAAAACTTGTCTCAAGTTAGACGATAAAGATTCATGCAGCGCTTCATGTATGGTCATATATGGTCAAATAGTTTATATGATGAAAAAACCAGTCGATTGGGGAAAAGGATCTTAACAATTAACGCGCACACTAAAGTATAGACCTCCTTGAACAAGGGATGGTGGTGGAGTGGGGGGGGGACTAAGATGGGGAGGCTCTTTTCCAGTTTGACTTGTTTGAAAAATTTGTTCTCCTGTTCATGCTAGCACGTTTTAACGCTGTTTTCTAACATGAAAAGTCATTTCAAAAATACCTTCAAATATTGGATTTCAGAAAAAATCAAAGAGGGGGACTGGAAAAGAGCCGATGGGGAGAAGGGAAATACAAATGGATTGTCCTCGGCAGGACAGTTAACGTTTACTGATAGCTCATCTGCAATTCACAGGAACCACATTTTTAAAAATTAAGTAAGAAGGGCACAGTTGTTCTCACTGAATGCCCACTCCTGGACACTCCCCGATGACCATGATTCCTTGCGAGTCTGCCATCTCCAAGTACTCCTGTGCATAAGGGTAGTGGCTGCTTCTGAATGCATTCGACTGCAGCCATTTCTGGTTCGCGAAGTCTCGTCCAATCAGGGCGTAGTCCAGACCCTTCCCTCTGATCTGCAACAATGTACAACCGGTTGTTAGAAGAATCATTTTAAGGTTACAGCAGAGGAAAACAGGTCTAACCTAGTTGAATACAGTTGCGGAAAATTTTAAATGCAAACCGCAAAAAGGCATGAAACCTAATTCATCCTCACGCCTTGAGTTCTTTTTTAGGCTTGGTGCCCTTTCAATGGTGTGTAAAATTTTTTTGCAAGTTCCATTTTCGAAACGCGATATACTTTTGTCGATAATTCAAACTTTGGCCAAGTACAACAGCAAAGTTATTGACGAATGCTTTGTCTTCAACTACTCATTTTCATGTCGAATGTGATTGTTTTCTCCCAGTCTTCATTTGTTTTTATTGTTCTGACTTTCGAAGAGAGTGAGTAATATTTACGCTTGTGTGGTTTTTTTATTCAGTCAAAAATTCGACTTGTTAACTAAGCGTTTTTGACGGATTTTTTTTAAATCTGAGAGATATTGTTATCCTAAGCTCAAATTTAAAAAGATTTTTCTTGTAATTTTGTAAAGATATGAACATTTTTTGTAAAGTTACGGGCGTTTGAAAATTGCAACTTTTGTCAATTTGGGATAAATAAAGTGCGATTTAATGCGTACTTATAACACGCGTAAGAAATGAATTAATGCGTTCCAAATTGAATTGGGACCAGCAATTTGATTCTATTATCACTTTACAATGGCCTCATGTGCAGTCGGAATAATCAGGGCTTTTCCCTGATATACGAGCAGTCTTGTTGTTCCGACTTTCGAAGAAAACGGAATATTTATGCTCGATGTGGTTTTTTATTCAATAAATTTTCGCCGATCAAATTAATCGTTTCAACAAAATTGTCTTATACCTCATTGAATATATCAACTTCCTGAGTTCAAATTTAAAAAGATATTTTACCTCCGATGTTTTTTCGTAAAGTTCTGTGGTTTGAAAATTGCCGAATTGACCATGTTCTGGACTAAATTATGCGCGCTTTGAAGAATTTATTGATAATAATGAGAGCAACACGGGAATTATTTATGCATAGCGAATTAACAGGAACAAAATCTTCTCAAACTGAATTGAGGCTAGTTAATCGGTTGTATTAATTTTGTACGACTCAAAATTCACACTTGATATTTTCCAAATTTATAGATTTTCATTATTTTTTCTCTAAAACTATTCGATATGCAGTAAGGGACATTCAAAACATTCAGGGCTTTGCTCTGATAAAGGAGCAGTCTTGTCTATTTTTTAATTTCCTTTTTAATTTCTAAGGAAAGATTTTTTGGAAATTGTTTATACCTTTTTTAACAGTATTCCAGCTGACTTAGAACAGTATCCTGATCGTTATCTCCAAAAAAGACATCATTGTATCAGCAGCGCATTGAGCGACTTTGTAATAGTTTGGTAAATGTTGATTAAGATCATTCCTGAATAATTCTAGCAAAAAATGTTTTCAATAAATTGATCCAGCTTTGACTCATGATTTTTAGCCTAATTTTAAGCGATTAAAGCAATTGAGCACCGTTTGCTATATGAAAGTTGACCAAAGTCTAAAAAAACTGATTATACTAAAAAAAATTCTTATTTTTTAGCTGAATTTCAAAATTATCCTGCTATCAATGAAGCGACAAAAATTATAGACGATAGACAACTGACAGTTGAAAACGAGTAAGGAAGGCAAGAGAACAGAAAAAAACTGACTTGTTTTTTAATAAACTTCAGCTTTCGAATTTTGAAGAAAAAATATACGCTCCTAAAGCTGTTTGAATTTCACGAACTCTTTATGATTGATGCTTTTTTGATAAATTCAACCCAATTTGAAAAATTAAATCAAAAGGTAAAATTTTTAATTCACTGCGAAACCTGGTAATTAAATTTCATTTTTGAAATTTTGTTTCTGTGACGTTCGTTTTAATTAAGGAAATGAACTAAACTTAAACAGAAGTCAAAAATTGAACCGCTAAAAGTCAAAAATGAGCATGAACAAATCTTAAGACTTTTCTCAAAAAAAAATTAAAAAATCACGACCTGTATAATAGTTCTCATTACGTTTATTACTCCTTTTATAGAAAAATTAGTTTGTTTTGGACTGATTAATGTGGCGATAACGTTCTGTGCTACTAGCATAGCTATCGGCTACCGGCGTTTTCACCAGGGGCGGATCTAGGATTTTCTTGAGGGGGGGGAGGATTTTCAAAAAAACTTCAAAATTTTTGACGGCCTTTTTTTAGGTCGGCCAAATTGATTTTCCGAGCTCTCCTAAAGCTCTAAAAAGACGCTGTTTTTGCCAAATTCTCTCCGCCGCAGACAAATTTATGAAAAAACAGTTCAAAAAAAGCGTTTTCAGGCACTTTTTGGATTTTTTTTTGACAAAAAAATGCAATTTTTGGCGCGCGCTTCCCCTCATAGTTAGTATATACAAGCTATTCAACTATGAAACCTTTAGGCATTCCAAACTCTTAGAGTGAATTGGTTACCCAAAAGTAAGTTTTTCTTAGCTAGCTATTCAAGCGATGAAAAATTGAAACATTTCAAGAAATAACATTTCAAGAGTGAATCGGTATGAGCGAAATCAAGTTGCTCTTAAACAAATTTTTCAAGATGTGAAACATTAAACAACAAAAGGTTAATTCAGACCAACTCGGTGCGTCAAAACGTGAATTTTTTCTTAAGAAAAATTGAATTTTTGCTATGAAGCTTTGATACATTTCAAGTTTAAAAAAATCGGGTGGAGAAAATTTTAGATTTATCTATTGAAGCCATTCAAGAAATTTTGCAAATATTTCAAAGTGTTTCCTAGAGGGAATCAGTTCGCGAAACTTGTTTTTTTTTTAGCTAGCTACTCAAGCGATAAAACTTTGAATTGTTTCAAGTTGTTCCATAGTGAGAATCTGCTCGCGAAAACGACGTTTTTTAGCTAGCTATTTGAGCGCTGAAAACTTGAAAAAATTCAAGTTTTTACAGAGATCGATTCGGTATGTTCAAAGTCGAAGTAATTCTCAGCAAACTTTTTAAGCTGTGAAACTTTGAACTTTTTTAGGTTAATAGAGACCAAAGCGGTCCGTGAACAATTGATTTTTGCTAAGTAAGCTATTTAATCTAAGCAACAATGAAAGATTTGAAGTTTTTTATAGACCTTACAAATTCTCAAAAAGTAAGTTTTTTCTAGATAAGCTATTCGAGCTATGAAACATATCAACTTAATTCAGGAAGAAAATCAGATAACATAACACTGCAGTTTTGTACTGAAACCACTCGAGTGATGGAATATGGAATTATTAGACTGAATTATTTTGCAAAAACGTGAAGTTTTCCTGTGCAAATTTTTCAAGCAAAGAAACTTTAAATATTTCAATTTATTTCATAGAACAAGTCAGTTTGCAAAAAATTGAGGTTTTTTTTAGTAGGCTATTCAAGCTATTTAAAGTTGATACAATTCAACATTTCAAGTTAATTCATGAAGCTACTCGTATAGCAAAACTTCGATTGTTAATTTAAAGCCAATCAAGCGTTGATTTTTCGAAATATTTCAGGATTTTTTGTAAGCTGAACCAAATCGCAAAAATCCAAGAAGAAAAATCGGACAGCGAAAAGTAAATATATTTTTTGAAGCCAATTAACCGATTGATCTTTGAAATAATTCAAGTTAATTCATGAAGCAAAGCTGATGGCTAAAAGTTGAAGTTTTTTAAACAAACTTTGACATCTTTCAAGCTATTTCATAGACCAGGACAACTCGAGAAATGTTGAAGTTAATCGCAAGCAAGTGATTAGAGCTATGAAAAACTGAAATAAAATTTCAATGGCTCATTACAAGAACTTCAGTTAAATCAATCAGAAAGAAGTGCAAGTAATCTAAAAACGCTATGAAAACTTCAAAAAAAATTTTGTTGTCCAAATGTCTGAAAAACTTAACAAAAAATATAATTCTAGGCGAGCTAATTGAGCGATGATCTTCAAAAAATTCCAAGATACTTCTTAGACAAAAGCGTTTTATGAAAAATTGGTTTTCCCGAGCAAGTTATTCCAGCAAAAAACAAGCAAAATGTTTCGCAAAATTTGAAACTTTTTTCCGAAACAAGCCTTCGAAGCTATGTATTTTTGAAAGGTTTGAAGTTCTTCTCTGCAAGCTATTCCAGCGATGAACTTCAAAAAATTAAATTTATTTTTTTTAGACCAAATCATGTCGCAAAAAATAGACTTCTTTATATGCAAGTTATTCAAGCAAGGAAACTTTAAAAAATAATTCAAGTCGTTCATGGAGCGACCTAGTTTGCGGAAAATTCCAATTTTTCCAAGCTATGAATGAATTCAAGTTATCTAACAGACAGAAACACTTGCTAAAAATAAAAATTTAAGCCAGCTATTAAGCCAGCTATTTAAGCCAGCTATTAAGCTTTGAAACTTTAAGGTTTCAAGTTATTTCATAAAGCGAATCGGATGGCGGACAATTTAAGTGTTTTCTTTTAATGTCATTGAAGTGTTGAAATTATTAAATTAAATTAAAAGTTCAAGTTTTTCTCAACAAGCCATACAAGCTGTGAAACTCTGAAAAACTTATGAAGTTATTTGTAGGCTGAATCGGTTGGTGAAAAAATAAAAAAATGTTTATGCAAGTTTTTGAAGCTGTGTATTTCTGAAATATTTCAAATGATCAAGTAGAGTGAATCGGTTGAAGGAAAAATCAAGTTTTTCCATTGAGGCCATTCAGTTGATGAAGCAATTTAGGATATTTCATAGATTGCATCGGTTGGCAAAAACTTTTCCTATGCTAGCTATTGAAGCAATTAGACGTAGTGTTTCAACACATTTCACGAAACCAATTGGCCAGTTGTTCTTAAGCAAGCTATTCAGGCTACAAAATAAATCAAGTTATTTCATAGACCGAATTGATTTGTAGAAATTTTCAGTTTTTCCAAGCAAGTTTTTTAAGCAAAGAATTATTGCAAGTTATATCATTGACCAAATCGCTTTGTGGAAAGTTAGGTTTTCTAAGCAAGCTATCCAAAGCTATGAAAATTGTAATAATTTCATATACCGAGTCGGTTAGTAAGAACCACAAAGTTTTCTACAGAAGCTATTTAAACTATGAAAATTTGAAAAGTTTCAAGTTATATCATATACATAATCGCTTCGTGGAAATTTAAGTTTTTCTAAGCAAGCTATTCAAGCTTGAGAACTTTAAGATTTCAGGTTAGCTCATAAAGCGAATCGGATGGCGAAAAGTTTTCTTTTAATGTCATTCATGTGCTGAAGGTGTTCAAATTAGTTTTTCGCAAAGTTTTTCTCGACAAGCTTTTCAAGCTATGAAACTTTGCAATATTTTAAATTATTTCACGAACCAAATCGGTTGGTGAAAACCTTAATTTCTTAGCAAGCAGTTCAAGCTATGAAACTTTGAAATATTTCAAGTTATTTTATAGACAGAATCACTTGTGAAAATTTTAAGCTTTTTTAAGCAAGCTACTCAGTTTAAATTATGAAACTTTAAAATATTTCAAGTTATTTTATAGATAGAATCAGTTGCAGTTAAAAAAAAATTTAAGCTACTGAGTCTCGTTGATTCGTTTCTGACTGAAAAGAATCTGTGCACGCATTTGTTTTGAAAATTAAAAGGAGAGGTATAGCTTCCAACTAATTTATTGGACGGTGTCTTAATTTTTTTGAAATAATTATGACTTTGAGACAGTGAAATGGCGTTAAAATTGCAATCGAACTTTCAAAACTTCACTTGAACAGTCAAAAGAGCAAAGTAAAATGATTGCGCTTTTTAGGAGAATTTGTTTGTGCCTTATTTCAAGAGCACATTTAAAAAAGGGGTTTTTAATTCAACAACGATTTGCCGAGTAGTTTTTCAGAGCAAAAAACGCCGAAAAAAAAGGCAACCGCGAACCTTCAAAACAGTATTTCATGTTAGTTCAAATTTGACGTTCAGTATTGTTTCAAAAATTTAATGCGCTGTCCGAAAAATTTATTAAAAGCTATAATGTATAGCCTTGAAGTTGAATCGAGTTCATTTTGCTAAAATAGTTCAGAACTTTTTTCAAAAAAAAATCTAGAAAGTTCTAGACTGAATGATTCTGAGACGTTCTGATTTAAGCTTTTGTAAACGTTGCACTCGATAGCCCATTAAACATTAGGTCTTATGCTGGAAACATGTCATTCATTCAATATATAAGAAAAAATTTAGAAAAAATTTAGGGTCGGCCGGCCAAAAGTGGATTTCTTAAAAAGTACCAAAGGGGGGACCCTTTGAGTCGGCAGGGGGTCGAATCCCTGAAAGAAAAGGGTGTCCGACACCCACCCCCCTTAATCCGCCCCTGGTTTCTACTATTTTTTTCTGTTGGCATGAACACTTGCTACCATGCAATAACTTACGTCAGAGTCTTCGTGTTTGTTGATTCCGGTGAGGTATGTCTTCACTCCATTGATGTAGAGAGAGGTGTTGTCGAGAGAGACATGGCGGAAGCCGAACTTCTGAGTGTACCTGTCCACCACAACACCATCAAGCTCCACGTCCACCTCAATAAAATAATTATCAAACTGGATCTACTTAACAATCTCCCCCCCCCCTTTCAGAAAAAAGGACAGATTGTTAGGTAGATAAGTTAGTCTAATGCAGCAAAACTATAATTCCCACTAGAAGCTCTAGTGCTAACTTACTGTATTTATTTATAGGGGTGGAGATTCTTTTGTAGATACCTAAGGGGAGAGATTGTTAAGTAGATCCATCAAACTATTATCCACGAGGGAAAGCACCGACAAACATGTGGTTCAACTCTCATTGGTCGACTGATTATGGTTAACTCACAAGAATTTTTCAAAAGTGAGCTGGATTCTTGAAAAAAAAATGGTTACTTTGCCATCTTAAAATTTCGTTTTCTCAAAAAATTAAAGGATAGATTTACGTTCACGTTCAAGAAAAGGAGAAAACGATTATGTACGAATGATCTTGAACCATCGACCTTTAGAATGGGAATTGGATAGCTTAGAAGACAGTTCAAATACCGCTCCCGACTTCAGCTTGTCTTTTTGTGGCAACTTTCCCTAGCCCAGCAAAAACGTCTATATCTGAATGTCATCACATTTACTCATATTGCGAATTAGACATTGTTTAAAAGAGAAATCAATAGAAATTCTGGAATTATAGTCACCGTCAGCTCATGAAGGAGTCCATAGTTAGTGTCCATAGTGTATGGCCACCACAGACTTTGAGGGGTCATATTAATCTTCCTTTCAACTCCGTTCTCCAAACCACCCAGATACAGGTAACTGTTTGTCCGGGGGAAGAGAACACCCACTTTGATTTTGGCGGAGGAGGTGTCGTCTCCCATGCACCAGACAGTTAGGAAAAGGTTCCCTGAAACCAAAACAACTGCAAGCTATTTGTTTTTAACATTTGTTCGCTCACTCTTTGTAATGTATTATCAAATATTAGTCTCCGTATCATTTGCCTCCGTGTTTTTGAAGGGGTGTTCTAAGTTTTGAGAGTTTCACGAACATTTTTTTGAATTTCAATGACAGCGTCTCAGAGTTCAACGGTCGAGTCAAACCAAGTGAACCGAAATTGACCGAATAATGGATTGGAAAAGGAAAAGACGACAACAATGAAATGGTTTTTTTGTGGCACCTTTCTCGCCCAGGAGTCGAACTCTGGACCTCGAAAGCACTTGATACGACAACGCGCAATAAAAGATAACTCGCGATATTTTAAAAAACCCGCATTGAAAGACAATTGGCAAGGGAATTACCGCCGAAGTCGCGCCAACGTGTTGCGAGATTGCCAAAAGAGGGTAAGAATTTATACGAAATTTAGAGCAGGACCTCGTGAAGCGGATTATGCCGACATTAATATGATGTTATTAGCAAAAAAAAGTTGATGACTACACACCTCATTAGAATGAACAACATGCATATATTAATTTTTTTATTCGTACTTTCGAAGAAAGTGAAGGAAAACAGATGGTTTTTTCTCCAAACAAATTTCAGTTTTTAACTAGCCAATTTTTGCCGAATATTTTGTATACATTCTGAAATATATTTATGCCCATGCAATGGTGGATCTAAACATTTCTCGAGTATAGGCATCTTGCTATATGTCAAATTGGTATATAACAAGAAAAGATTACATTTTCGTTTTCTATACTTCTTTTTGAAGGCGACCGGAGCTCTCCCAAATTACTCTAAAGACCCAATTGTGAATCTACACTTTTTTTGCGCAGAAAGCGAATTTATGAAAAAACAGGCGAAAAAAGTTTTTTAATGGATTTGATTTAAGAAAATATTAACCAAACAATGCATCTTAAGCCCAGCCCCCCCCAAAAAAAAATTGTGAATTTGTGCATTGGGGGCTTTAGAAAAATTTTAGGGTCGGTCAGACAAACATGGGTATCTTAAAATAGTACAAAATGGGGACCTGTTGGGTCGTCAGACGGTCGAATCCCGAGGAGGAAGCGTCTCCGCCCCGGTTGTGATATTCATTATTACTATTTTATCCAATTTTTTAACCGGTCCCGTCTCACCTTCAACTTATCTAGCGAACTCCGTCAGCGTGAGCAATATCAGTGTTAACCAGGCATTAGATATATACGCGGAGATTTTTAGCAAATTACGCGATGCGGGATGCGGAGTTTTTTCTTTTTTTTAGGCGCTGATTACCCAAAAATTTTGCCTTTATGCGCTAAAATACGCGGAAAAAAAACTGAAATTTTTCAAATTTTATTGCTATTCACGTAAAGAAACAGCAATCATTTGAGTTTTTGGGGGGTCCAGTCTGCGTAGGTCTTCCGTCAGCAGTTTGTTGTAGTACGTGAACACTCTCTCAACAACAGCAGACGAACATACCAGAAACCCGTAGTTGAGTGCAACTTTCGATAATGTTGGCAAATCAACGGACGACCCAATCCAGAAATCTTTCGTTGCTTGAGTAGTTGTTGTCAGTTGTTCCAGTTCTGTTTTTTCCGTAGCTGATTGCAAGTGGAAGTTTCTAGCTAAACTCCGATAACGAACAAACTGGATTTTAGGGATGATTGCTGTCTGTGGACACGATGACAAATCAGGTTTTTCAGACAAAGCCAGCGACTTTCGTGGATTGAAAAATTGAGTTTATTGGGAAAAATTGTTTGCTGGGTGGGTGTGTACCATTCACTTCGTTGAAGTACTTATCAAATTTTTTGCTAGCTCGTTCTGCCGACTCAATTATTTTGCCTTTGAAGTTGTTACTCTTTCCATTGGTGAATGTTTGCGTCATCAAAAACAAAATTTCATCCACTGAATCGTCTATAAACGATTTTTGCGAAACCAGTTCAAACATGATGTTTTCAAGATATCCGTATATTAAACAACTAGACCCAATATTCGACTCGAACAGTTTCAGTGCTTTGATAAACGGTTTTGCACAATTTTTAATATGCGATTTATGCTTCTTTCTTATCTTTGAAACGGGCTTCTTGAGGCTCTGATGTGCGTAGGTTCTTGATCCCGAAGGTCCATTTTCATCGCTTGATTTAGAAAAGGTAGATTCAGATGACATTTATCGGAAACACAAGAATTGTATTAACGCGGAATTGAAATTAGGTCATTTTACGAGCCAGTTATGCAGTTTTGCGTGCCGCGTTTTTATCTTATGCATGGTGTTAACTCAATTTGTTAGAAACAACGTTTGTTTTAAAACACTCAATCACCGTTCAGTTTAGATAAGTCAATAGACTATTTTATTAGCCCCCTCTAAACACACTAATGCATCTTAATATTGAAAAAAAAATAGTTTGAATTTAATTCTACTTCGACAACTATAATTCAAATTGGGATAATTCATGTGCGACATTTTTCGACCTTCTTAACGGCTAGCGGCAAATTAAATCATTCCAAATTGAACAAAGGCTAGCATTTGTACCTATTAAAACGTTAGCAGAGGCAAATTTTCTTTATGCCCTTTAGCAGGTGGGGTATTAAGTTAAGAAATAGAAACTTCAAAAAACTAAATTTTCTCGTTTCTTCCGAAAATTTTAAAACGAGGTTTTTGATGAAAAGCAGCTTTTGATCGAAGTTAGAGGGGAAACCGTCGGCCAATTCAACTCAAAGTTTGCTAATTTATAATACTTGAAATCCTTATAGCAATCTTCCGTCATCACCTGGCTTACAATCAGGGGCGGATCTAGGATTTCCTCGTTTTTTCCCGAGCTCTGCCAAAGCACTAAAAAGATCCTGTTTTGGCCAAATTTTTTTTAAATACAGGCCGAAAAAAAACGCTTTTTTGGGCATTTTTTAGAAATTGTAGACCGAAAAATCGGGTATTTTTTCGGCGCGGGCTCCCCCTTCAAAATTTGTATACATTGGCGCCCCATGGATATCTCAAAATAGTACAAAGGGGGGACCCTTTGGGTCGGCATGGGGTCAAAGTTTGTATATTGACTTTTTTACAAATAAGTATTTAATTTAGAACACCAACCTAAAGCCTGAGAATTTTATTACGTATTATTCCTCTTTGAATATATTACTTTAAACTAGATTCAGTAAACAAAGTCACGGTCCGCTGCAATAGATCAGAAAAACTACCGTAAAAAGAATTCAGTGAGCTAAGTTAAGTCACTGTTCGGGGTAGTAAATCGGTTTAGTGGAGATTTGGATAAAATTAGATGGAATGAAAATTGGTAATTTTCATCTCGCTTATAAAGTCAGTTTTGACAATTGGAGCAATTTCATGCATTTACCCAATCAGGGGACAGACTTTGAAAACCGCATTTTTGAGAAAGCTTCAATCAAAAAGGTTGCAAGTGTTGAAAAAACTGCTTTTTCAAGGACATTCACTTCACTGCTGGGCGGATTTAGGGGGAGGGGGGCGGGGACCTTTTGGTACTTTTTAAGAAATCCATTTTTGGCCGACCGAGCCTAAATTTTTTTGAAAGGCGCCTTTGGCTCCAATATATACTAACTTTGAGGGGGAGCGCGCGCCAAAACAAACGCGATTTTTTTGTCAAAATTTTCCAAAAAATGCCCAAAAACGGCCTTTCTTTTTGACCTGTTTTTTCAACATTTTGCCTATTGTGCAGAAAGTTTGCGTCTTTTTAGTGCTTGAGGAGAGCTCGGAAAATCAATTTGGTCGAACTAAAAAAAAGGTCGTCAAAATTTTCGAAAATTTTTTGAAAATCCTCCCCCCTCGAGAAAATCCTATTGGTGGATTGGATGGAAAAACGCCCGATGAACCTGATTAAATTTCTCACATGTGTCTGTGGCCGTCTGTTTGTCTTCGGACTGGGGCACTGTTTTTATTGTGACGTCATCCACGTGCACCGCGGGAACTGTGAACAACTTCACCGGTCGGTGCAGTCCCGCATAGTTGAAGAAGTCGAATTGCCACGTGACTTCAACATAGCCAGCTGGGTATCTGTTGGTAATATAAAACATAGCCAACAGAGGGTTGAACAAGAGTCAATGAACGCAAGTAAAAAAGAAATTGACTTAATTTTTGAAAAATCTTAACTTTCGTTTTTCGAAGAAAAAAATAGATGCCCTTAAAGCTCTTTGAATTGCTAGAACAATATCTGATTGGCACTTTTTGATAAAACTAACCCAATTTGAGAAAAATGGATTAATAGGTAAGTTTTTTATTTCGCTGGGTAATCTGAAAATTAAATTCCATTTTTGATACTACAAGTCGATCACGTTTTTCGTGACGTTTTAATTTTCGCTGTTCGATAGTGAAATTTTAAGTCTTTTTCTAAAAAAAACGAAAAAAAATCATCACGACCTATATAGAAGTCTGAAAAATACTCATCGACTCTTAAACATTAGGGCGGTAAATTGCAATGTCCACAAAAATTTTCTCTTATTACAATAGGGGCACGAATTTTAAACTCCCCTCTAAAGTATAACTACCTCGCCGTCAGAAGATTTTTTGTATCACTAGCTTACAACGTTCATATCTGGCCAGCTAAGCCTATAACTTTTCGGCTCCTTCTAATTATGGACCTCCAGCAAATTATGGTTTTTCCCTTGTTAACATTAAATCCAATGAGTAACCAAAATTCAAAAATCCAATAAAACAGCTATCGCAACTTAAAAATAATTGAGACGTATTAAAGGGCTCTTTAAATTTTTTCAATTCCCTAAAAAAGTCAAATGAATTCCAATCCAAAAACCAAAACCACCTTCTCCTTCCCGAAAAAAACCCCATATATCTTGATGAGGGGGAATTTTTAAGGCGACTCCAACTTCTAGCGAACAGCAAATACCCAACCACAGTTGTTTCCAGTAGAGAACTTAAAATTTATTCGAAAAAGACTTGATTTTTGAGTTGATCTTGAAATTGAACGCTTACATGTACTGACTGGTGTTTTGCTTGTAATTATATGCAGAGGGCGGCACAGTGGTGGCATTCAAAGTGTTGTTCAAGGCCACTGTCAATCTGTTCATGTACTCACTCGGTCCCCCTCCCCCTCCACCTCGGTGGGAGGTGCCTGGATTGGATGGAGTGAGGAGGTGTGGTCCTATTTCGGCCTCGAAGGGAAGGTGTCCCACTGAATGCTCGGTCAGATACTCGCCGTTGATGAACTAAACAAGAAAATACTTTTTTAGTTAATCAGCCAGAAGCCCAGCCCGAAGGGGTTATATGTTTAAGTCTATGGCTATCTAACAGAAGCTCACCTTGTAAATTGCAAATTAAATGCAGCGCACACGCAATTTGAACACGCAATTATATGATTGCTGGGCACCAGAACTACCGATGCTGTTCTCCCCACATTTACTTTCTCCCTCCTACCTTTAGTATTGTTCACAACGTTCACAAATCAACTGTATTCTTTGAATCAAAAAAAAATTTTTCTGCAATTAGTCGAAAATTAACCAAAAGATTTTTTTGCATGTTTTCGCAAAAACAGATCTGCTGAGTTTTTGACAGATTGAAATCTCTTTATTGTTTTAGGAGACAATATGTTTTTTGAAACAATATATTCTGGTCATGAAAACTTTAGAACTATCAAAATTCTTATTTTTTGATAGTTTTATGGTTTTTGTATAAGCATTGAGCAATTATTAAATATATTACTGAAAAATTTGTCGCCAAAAATGCTTATCATCTGAAAAGTACTGAAATTCTTAGCTGAAACTTTAAGAGTTATTTTTTGAAATTCTGAGCTCAAACTTTAAGAGTTATTCTTTTTGTGACCAATTTTTGTAACGATACGGTGGTTCGAAAATTTTGTGGTTCGAAAGTTTTTGGCAATTTGAGATAATAAAGGCAAAAATAATATAATTCAAGCAATTACAACTATTATAAAATGAAGTGAAGGGGGAGACAATTCTTATGGCGGAACGACCGAATAATTAAAAAAAACCTTAACTAATCAATCTTTGGACGTTCCTATTGGCTACATGACTTTTGAGTTTTACCAATAATATTATTAACAGAAAATGAAATATAGCAGCACAGTAAAATTTTGTTGCAGAATTCGAGCAGATATACGAAAAAATTCGACCTATCTCTGACTCGGTTTTTCCAAAAGGCGACTTCGATTTAGAAATAGTGGAAGGTTCATGTATCTGCTTATATTCTAATCAATCAACATTAAAGGTCGTGTCCTGGATTTTCTCGCTTTCTATGAGATTTTCGCGATTACTTTGAGAATTATTGAGACTCAAATCTGATTGGCAGGAAATAACTAAAAACTTTTTTCCGGCATTCTGTCCCTTCATCATGAAGGACGCCACCGAAGTTAGGCAAACAATCTGTTTTTATAATAGTGTTACCAGACTCAAAACATATCACTGTGTACTTTACATAGCCGTTAGGGGGATAAAACAAAGAAATGAAAAGAAAACGCTTTTTCGATTGTTTTAATCAACTTTTTTTAAATCAAATTTAACTCGATTTTATACGACAATCAGAAAATTCAGGACTTTGCCCTATTATCTGTCCTTTCGCCTTTTTTTTAGCAATTAAGCAATAAAACTTCAGACTTGTGAAGCATAGCTTAAGCCAATCAGCTTTAACGGTCCATTTCGTCATCTTTTCAATCCCAATCAAATAGCCGCTGAGGGGCTATGCTGTTAATTAGTATTATTCGGTGAACCCCGCACTTCCGCTATAGCTCATAGCTTAAGAAGAGTTTTCACCTTTTTAGTTGATCAAACTTCAGTTTCGAGAGTTTTTATTCAGTTGCGTATTTCATCAGTGTACTTAAACTGCTATCCCATATATGTGCAGCACAACAAAAAATTGACGGACAGACTGACCGCCGCAAGTGTATTATCAGTCATTCAAAAAATTTTGCCGAAAACTGAAGGCTCGTTCCATAAAAATGATAATTTTTGAGGCAACTAGATTGAGTGATTTCATTTTAAAACTTGGTTAAAACTTCATTCCATGTGGAAAAACAAGTTTGACAAAAACAAAAAAAGATTTAAGATAGAAACAATGTAGCGGCAATCTGGTGACACAAATGAACAATGGTATCAACTCCTGGAAATTGTGATTGCCTTTCAGTTTTTTCAGATTGTTGGGAGAAAATTTCAGTGTTAAATTTTCATTGTAAACGCATATTTGTGCATATTTGTGCGTTTTATGCCTCATTTTTCCATTGTTTTTTTAAACATTTCTTTTCATGCAGTATCCAGAACAATATCTATGCAACATACAAATTACGCACAGCAAAGCCTAATTTACACCAATTAGCTTTAACAGTCCAGTTTAGCATCCTTTAAACCTCAATGAATCAGATGCTGAGACGTTGTGAATTATAGTTAAATAATGACTTCTCTCATAAGCGCGATTACGTCAAACAAAGTTTCACAATTTCAGTTAAACAAATTTTTTATTACGAATGTCATTCAGTTTCAAAGGTACAAGGAAAGTTCAAGGCCATCTCTAATAAACTCGACAAAATTTTAAACGCAAATTTATATTCTGATATTTTTGTGCAAGCACACCAAAATAAATGTAACATCTTGAGCGCCGCTATTTTTGAGTTAGTACTTAGTGTTTAAGCAAAAAAAACACTCGTTTTATTCTACTCGATTGGGTTTCCGAGTTGCCCAATGTAGAAGATAATGCGCAACTGTACAATTTCTTATATATTTTGTATGAAAGACGACATTTATCCTTTGCCCATAACTTTTTTCGAATAACCTCAAAATATAGTTCTACTGTTAAAATTACTAAAAAACTTATTTATAACACTTACGGATGCTGCTGGGAAGTATTAGAAATTGGTGGCCATACAAACGATGAATTGCAGCATATGCATTGAAAACAAAGCCCGCCTTTTAAATTAATCGATAAAAGTTACAGTTTGAAAAATCATTTAATATTAACTTCGTAAATTTTTCAATGAAAAAAGTAATTAAATTTATAGGTCAAAAATAAGGGAAAAGTTCAAAGAAATGTTCGTCGTTACGAGTTTTCCCGGGTCGATATTTCGAACTCATGTGAAATTTTGACGGAAAACCCCCTGATCGAGCAGGTATTACAGTTGATTACGAAGTCAAAACAAAGTCAAATAATAATCCGAAACACTAAACCGAAACAATAAACCGAACACTAAACCGTCGAACACTCAACCAAAACAATTAGTCAAACACAAACTCGGAATCTGAAGTTGAATACAAAGCCAAAAATATAAAGATGAACACAAAGTCGAAACATAAAATTGAGTTAATTGAAACTCAAGGTCAAATTTGGCTCAAGGCAAGACTTTTAGCAACTATTACTCGAAATTTTTGTTTTACGGTAAACCAGAAAGACGAGGAGTTTACTTCAAAAACTTAAAATAGAAGGGTTCCCACGGTAGAAACATACTAATTTGTGAAAATTTTCATATAAGTTTTGTGAAACATATAAGTTTTGTGACAATTTTCAGAATATTTTTTTACTATAACATTTATTTTACAATTTAATTTAAAACGCCACGTTTGATTGCGCAGCTTGAAGCTTGATGCTATATGAAAATTTCCCATTCCAGTAACTGTAGTCCTTTTGATCTGGTCAAATGTTGACACAAAATTTTATGCGAAAAGTATAAACTTTAAACTTTGATTAAATTGCTTGGTTGAACTTTGTCGAAACATATATTCTTGCGAGTTCGGTCAAACTACTTTGCTCGGTCGAACTGGGTCGAAATGTTTTTCCTAGGTCGAACACGTTTGAAGCCATTTTCATCAGTCGAACATAATTGAAAAACAAATGATTTGTTTCGAGTCGGTCAAAACTCGAAACATCTATTCATCACTCGATATCTATTCTCAAAAATTACCATCTGATCAAAAAATTCTGGGTTTAATCATCTTGTACCTCAACTGCGTACTTGATCATCATTTTGTTTCTCAACTGCGTGCTTAATTTAATTACACGTAAATTTTTTTGGGGTTTTACTCGTTACAAGCACGATTAGCCTTGAGTGTCATTGTTGTTTTATATCGCCCGTACTCACAATAGTTGAGCTCTTCGAGCATTTTTTTTCAACTTGGGTCAAATTTTGTTTTAAAAAAATGGTCTGAACAAAATGTGCTCAGAGTTTTAAAGTAACTTGGTGCAATTTTTGTGAGAAATTCGGGACCAAAATTTCAAAGCAAAAACAGATCATTTTTGGCTTTTTTGATCAATAAAAAATTACTACGCCAATATTAACAAGTCAATTGTTGTACGGATTATATCGAAGTAAGCTTCCTGCCAAGCCCAACAAAAAAATCACCTCCAAAATTTTGTTGAAATTGATTTATCTTTGTTTGATAAAAAGTGTCATTTTTACTGAATAAACAAACCTTTTCTTAAAACAATTTTTAAACGTGTTGCACAAATTTTGTGGAGGAAAAACATTTCCTGGGCTACGTAAGATGCTTACTTGGATATAAAGCGTAGCTTTGATGTAATTTTTGATTAATTAAAAAAGCCAAAAATGATCCGTTTTTGGGGAAAAAAGTTTGGTCACAATGTTTCCAAAACAAATTGAATCTATTTACTCTGGTAAAATTCGAAGTAAATTTGTGGCCATTTTTTTTCACCTAAATTTAACTCAATATGAGAAAAATGAGTTTTAAATGTCAAAATTTTTGCGATTTGTCGGAATAATTTAAATGAGCACTGTATAGTTGTGGTACTTACGACCATGGCGTAATAGTGTGCACTTTCGAATCGCACATAAATCTGCCTCTCAGATGAGTCATAGCCCCCACTTGAGTTCAGCCACAGGGTGGGGGTGGGGAAGAAGGTCTCATACCACACCCACCCCAAGTGGTCTCTTAGTCTGGCATCTGTGGTGATGTCGTTGAAGGAGGAGGGCACTGGCATCTGTATCACTTCACCGTACTAAATAGAAAACCGAGTATTTTTATTACCAGTCAACAAAAGAGGCGCTAAGTTCTGAACGGATCTCCCAGGGGCAAATTCAAAATTTTTCGATGAGGAGGCGCGGATTTTCGAATATTTTGATGACCTTTTTTTTAAATCATTCGAAAATACCAAAAAATTCTCTTAAAACAACATAATGACCCTATTTAAACAAATTTTTTGCCCCGTTTTGGGGTGGTTATTGGAAGGTTTTGCGTTTCCTGTTAACGCGCACTCCCTTTTCAGAAAAACTTTAGACTCGGTCGGACAAAAGTTGGTTACGAAATTTGGCTGGTGAAGGGTCAAATCCCTGAAAATGCTGAGTAGGTCCTGGGATTCGACAGGTAGAGACCTTAAGAACTTCGGCTCGTTTCCACTTTCCCATCCGGTCTTACAATTTTTTTCACACCACAATTTGCACGGAGAAGAAGTTGATAGAATTTATTCAATTGTTCACACTAACTTGTTTTAAAACAAGTTAAGTCAAACTTAAAAGCATTTTAGAGAATATATTTCCGGAAAAATCAAAAGGATGAAATGAAGAAAAGCCGCCTCGTCACCACCGCTTTTTTTTATATCTTTGACCACTGAGAAAGGGGAGGAACACTGTTTTCGGTTGTTGAAGTTTTTTTTTCGATTTTTTGAAGCGAAAAAGGGCACCAGAATAAATTGCTAGAACGTTTCAAATGCTGTGTTATAATAAAACCTTTCGACTAGGATTCGAACGACAACAAAAAATTCCAAAAATTTGTTTTTGTAAAGAAAACCTGCTTAAAGTTTTTGTTTTTCAGTTTCATTTTAGCCTTTAAACCAAAAATTAGGTTTTACGATAGGCAACGCTTTTGTTTAACTCGCAAAAAACTTTGTTTTAATCCAAAAAAATCGTAATCAAAAATTCATTTAGTGCTTTCTTTTCAGAAATTTTTTTCGAAAATTTGCAGAAACTTATCTGTAAAAAGATTCATTTTGTCAGTCATTTTTAGAGAACAGATTACGCCGAGGTTCTACGCTTTCATCTTGTTTCTCTCATCGAACATAGCTGAGAAACTATTGCTTATGTTTTACCTTCAAAGGCAAGCTTTAGTCTAAAAAATTTGATTGGTAGAATTTAAACGTGAGTTACAATGTTTGAATTAACAAAAAAAATCAATTGGATTCAATTTTAATTGATCTTACTTATCGTATTGAAGACGTTTTTTAAGCATCATGGATATTTCACAGCAGAATAATCATATCATCAATCAGGTTATGGATAAGACCGTGAGAGAGGCGTTGCTGCTGATGGCAAACAACTTGGTATCTGACAAGAGTGAACTTCAGAAAAAGTGAGCGACTTGCAAACTACTTGTTCTAAAATTAAAGAGCGGTTTAGCGCTCAGGAACGATAAACAATTAAGGTTTCAATTCTAATCGAAAATCTTTTTTTATGTGAGAAAGTATTCGGTTGAATTTTACAAAAATAAAAACAAAGTTCTTGGTGGTTTGCCTAATTTTTTTGGAGACTTGGGATACACTATTGTTACGGAGAATTGATTTTATAACAATCTACTCCATATAATAATCTCTACGGTTATTGTCAAACTTGTCAGGTAGGTGGACAGGTTTTACGAGTTACGACAAAATTTGAATGAAAAAGCAACAAAATGAATGAGAAAAAAATACACCTGAACGATTTTGTGTAAAAACGACCGTGGGCATGTTCGATATGAAAATGTGGACCATGTGGACTATTTAAAAACTATGGGAAATCCAATCAAAATTTAACCGAGGGCTAATAGGGCGACAAGTGCTAAACTTCATGCATCCGAAAAGCAATTGAAGAGAAAACAATGAAATTGTATGCTAGTGTCACTTCCGAAGGTTAAAAAAACGCAGAAAAGTGAAGCATGCAAACTCTAATGAATTCTAGTTTGTGGAGAGTCGAGCAATCCCTCAAAAATGAAATTTTGAGTTAGGGACCTCAATGTAGCTAGTAAATTTTCATCGATTGAATGAGCAAAAATGTTGGCATTACAGAAAATAAACTAGTCCTTGTTGGCAATGGTTTTTTTTTTCTTATTACCTAGTTTTGTTTTCATCCACAGACAACTGAAATTTTTGAAATTTCCGAGAAGCGAACGAGTTCTTCTTTTGTTTTTTTCTGTCTCAAATAATTTTGAATTAAGGAAACAAAAAACATACTAAAATGCAGGAAACAAACCAAAAACACGGTGCAAAAACACAATAAAATAACAATTTTTTTTCTTAGTTTTCTGATAATTAAACGTATTTTAAAAGCAATTGTTAGCAAAAAAAGCCAATAAAAGTTAAAAAAAATTGAAAGTGAGGTTAGTTGAGGTTCTCAGCAAATTTTTTTTTTCAATAGTGTTTTTTCTCTCATTCATTTTTTCACTTTTAGTTCGAAAAAAAGTTAAGGCAGCTGAAGCCTATTTTTTTCTCAAAAGATTTGCATCTAATTTCGTATTTTTTTTCCTGTGAAATTGTTGAATTAGTTTTCATGATTGTAAGGGAGACTTTTGACAATTAATTTTGTCCAAAACATTTTCTTTTCCTGGTTGCAATTTTGATCAACTGGAATGAAAACTGTCTAAGCTAAATAAAGTTCCCAATTTGCGACAAACCATAAGCAGACAACCCATAGTCCGATCATTTTTTGATTATAAACACTTTAAGTTTTAAAAAAAAAACAGGTGCTGACCGGATTCGATCGTAATCCTTGAGTCGTCCACTAATACATTTTGTACCCAGTAGTTAAATTTGATTAAGTTTGGTAGCAGCGCAATTGAATGGTGCGGAAATTATTCAGTGATTTTTTTTTAAAAAAAAGGGTATACTCCAGTTTGACAACGATTGCTCATCGCAAGCGCAAACAGCATTACAAATTATACTGATAGTTTTTTTTTCAAAATTTTTTTTTTTTCAGATATCCAGAACATTGCTTATGGAACACGACACTTGTTAATCTGAAGGAATCATGGTCTGATTTAGCCCCCAATTAAAAATTTTGATGTTACCAGGGCTCTAAGGGAGGGGGCACAGTTAAAAAAAGGCAGTAGTCGCTAAGTAATCAATTTCAAGTTTTGTAGTTGAACCGGCTGGTAGGTGCTATGAATAGCTAATTTTCAGAACTTTTTACATGAAAAACAGTTTTTTCAATAAATTCATGATAATAAACAAAAAAATTATCTGCACTCGAGTTAGAACCGGATTGCGACCAAGCCGACAGAATATAAACGATTAAACCATAGGCCAAAAATGCATTCTTTTCCGGGAAAAACTTTCAATTCCATACATACTGAAAAAAAGGTCCGGGCTAGACTCGAACCCCAGACCTCAGAAATAGAGCGTGAAATTTACTATTCCTTCTAAACTTACCATTCTGTGAACGATGTTGTTTACGAGGAAAAGCCTAGTCTTCGTTTACAGTACCATTGCTGATTGCAAATTGTGATCATAATTGGGAAAACGAACTTTGATTTGAAAACTATTACCAATTCATGAAATGAGCAGATTTAAAACAATTACTTGAGCTAAACTCTATTTTGATGGGAAGATTCCATTCTGTCTCACTTGTACAGGAGGTACATCAAAAGTTCTTTAAACTTATGAGTTGAAGCGAAGAACACTTCCGCTCTTTGTCTAACTGCTCATTTTTCTTCTAAAAGCTCATTTTCAGCTTGAATAGAGAAAGTACTTACAGTTTCCAGCGGTTTCAGCCACCATTTTTCATTCACACTTTCAGCGCTATAATCTGGCAGAAAATCCCAGAATCCATCCAGGGTTTTAAACTGTCGCGAGGCAGAATCGATCACCTTCAGGAGAGCTACACTTTCTCGGATGAAAAAGAATATCAACAAAAGTAGCAAAGCAATCTTCATACTTTTGAATCATCACTCTTTTTCTTGTTCTTCCCACGTTAGGTTGCAAATCATTTTGAATCAAATCAGCTCGTTTTTTTTGTAATATTTGGCTGACACAAAACATCTAATTTTAGCACACTTTACTTCATAAAAGCCTGTTAGGTGAAACTTTATTAAACGAAAACCCTTGATTTACTCATTTTTTACATTTCGTGAAACCATAAAAATAGTTTCATGTTTCAGCACCAAAAAGACTTACAATTAAATAATAATTTAACGCTGACATGTTTTTTCACTTGTTTGTCTATAGTTTCCTACTTTTCCATTTGATTTCAAAAAACGAACAAGACTGCTCGTATCAGGGCGAAGCCCTGAATGTTCCGACTGCCTTTTAAGGTTTTATGGAGCAGTAATAACATTAAAAAATTAAATGTAATAAAATTTTAAAAAAATTGTATTTTTAAATTTGAAATTTTTTATGAAAATCATCCCCCCACGCGCCATTTAAAGTACAAAAAGATAGATTTAGCTCCTTGTAACCAATCAATTATGGCAAATAAGCTTCTTTTAACCAATTTGGAACGATTTTAAGACGAATTAACTCTCCGCTTACGCGTTAATAGCGCGAAATATATCGCTCGTTAATTGTCCCAAATTGGCCAAAATGACAATCTTTAAACCCCCATAAATTTACGATAAATGATCACAGGTGAAATATTTTTTCAAATCGGAGCTCAGGACAACAATACCTTTTGAATGATAAAAAAAAATTCCGTCAAAAATGGATAGTTAAAAAGTCGAAATTTGTCTGAAGAAAAAAAAACCCACCCCGAGCACAAATATTCCGTTACTTTCGTATCGAAAGTCGGAACAAAAAAATACCAGCTCGGAGAGTAATAAGAACAAGAAAAAATCCGAACGTTCTACAGCACTCTGTTAAGAAAATGATGTCTCATTTTAATTATAACTTTAGAAACATAGAAAATTCATGAGCAAATAAAGTATATTAGTTGGATCAGATAAGAAACTACAGAATATACGAAAGCGAAACACTCGGTGAAGATCAGTGTGAAACACACCTGAATAAAACTAGTTAATAGATTAAAGCTATATCTCATTTTGACAGCTTTCTCATCCCGCCTTAGTATAACAAATGTAAATGTTTTCAGGCTCATTTGGGATTCATGACTGTTAGGTTAATAGCATTTGTAATCAATGAAGAACTAAGCGAAGAGATTGGAACACAGAGGCGATGCGTAGCTTCGCATCACTTGCGATACACCACAAACATTAGAAAAACAACTTGAGTCGAATTTTTTTTTAAATGGGGAAAAAACTAGGCGAACCAAAATTTTCGTAGATCTCGATAAAAAACAACTAGGGGCCCAGCTAAAGCTGGCGGTACGTGCTTAATTTTGAATGAATTTGCTAACTGATGCAGCACGAAAATTTTGATTTCAAAAACTGGACTTTGCCCAAAACCGTAATGGTTTCTCAAGAAAAAAATTGAGAAGTATAAAGTTTTGAGATAATCAATTTTCCCAAGAAGATATCATTTCTCCTACAAAAAATTAAAAGTCGACGCTTCTGCAGGATCAATTACCGAAACCAGTTTTTTTCAATTGAGCTTTTCATCACAGATTTGATTTACTCTCTTTTCATCAGAGAGTAAATCTTAGGAATATTCAAAATATTTCTAAAAACGGTCAAAATTCTAAGAAACGGTCGAAAGACTTTCTAAATTCGTAACTTTTTTTCTGCCAAGGCAGGTTGTGGCCGCTTAAGCAGAGACGATTCCCAAAACGGGGTTTCTCAATTGAACACAACCTGAGAATTGACACAAAAACTTTCGCGTAAATTTCCAAAAAACGGTCAAAGTTTTAAAACTTTGACTTGTTTGAAAGCCATAATTTTTTTCCGCCATAACTTGGGCGAATTCAATTAAAATCATAGTCTTTAAATAACCCGTTGTTTCGATAAAGCCTATGATATCAGATTTTGCAAGAGAGTTATTGAGAAAAGCCCAAAAAACGGTCAACAAATCAAACACTTCACATTTCCGAGGACCAAAGTTTTCTGTGTGAAAACATAGGGCGTAGCCGCTTATGTAGAAGCAATTCACGCAACCCGTAATTTCGATGGGACCCAAATTGTCAGATTTGGGAGGGTAGTTTTCGAGAATATAAAACAAAAACTTTCAAAAAAACGGTCAAAAAATCCGAGGGCCATAATTTTTGGTTTTGAAAACTTGCGCTTAGTCAAAGAAGCTGATGAATTTCTAAGAGCGCATTCTTTGACTTTGACCCAAAATCTCAGATAAGCCAGGGAAGTATTCGAGAGTATTCAAAAAATGGTCAAAAAATCTAAATTTTACTTTTTCAGGGCGATAACTTTTTATGTAAAAACAATTTGCGAGTGGCTGCTAAAGCAGGGAAGTTTTTCATTTCATGTTATCTCCCTTGAACCCACAATATCAGATTTGAGAGGCTAGTTTTCGAAAAAAAGTCAAAAAGAGTCACAAAACGGTCAGAAATCAAAAAATTGAATATTCCGAAGGCCATAACTTTGTGTAAAAAAAAATTGGGCGTAGACGCATATACAGAGAGCTTTTCAAAATTATTTTATTCTTTGAAACCAAAAACCAAAGATTTAAGAGGCTTACTTTTTGACAAAATAAAATAAAAACTAAAAATATGGGTCAAATATCCCGCACAGACTTTTTCTAAGGCTGTACACAGATGGGTGGAGTATAAAGAAACTCTAGGGGAGTATGCAGGCGCACAGGGGAGTAAGCGGGCTTTTTCTTGACAACCCTTTTTCAAAAACCAGTAGAATTTTCTGAGAAACACTAAACTTTTTTCCAATAAAATTGGAAATAATTTTCAATTAGGAAAAAAGTAAATTTCAACAAACCGAAAGGTAAACATACAACCAAAAGTGCGGATGGGGAGCGTTAGATTCGTGTTCCCTTGATACGATCTAGAAATTAGGTCAATAAGCCGATAAAAAAATGGGCCGAAATATTTTGGGCCATGGATTTTTCATAGCGAAACAAAAAAAAAACAAAGAAGAAATACGATGTCAAGGTAGGTAAAATTACATTTTCTAGGACAAAATCAAACAAAAAGCAACATAAAAGAAAAACGCGCGCAGCAAAAAACGCTTTCGTGATGCCACAACGAAGCCGACAACAGAAAAGCAGGCAATTAAAAGGCCCACAACTTTTTTTTGAAACAGATTATTTCCCGTTCGAAAAAAAAACAGATCCTGGTCAGATTCAAACCCAGGACCTTTGCCGTCCAAAGCATATTAGTTATTTCCAAGTTAAATTGGCTGGAACGTATAGAAGTTTCAATTCATTACGAACCAAGCAACAAATGATTCTGTTGAACAAGTTGTTAACCCGAAAATAGTCTATACTCCTGTTTGATAACGCTTGCCAATCGCGATCGCATCTCTTCAACTATATCCCATAGGTTACCTAGTAACCAATATACCCCTATAAAAAAAAATCAACGATTAAGCAAAACAGAGTTAATTCAAGACCGAATGGGAACGAACCTGGAAATTGTTGAGGTACGATAATAAAGCAAATAAGATTTTTAAGAAGCTTTCTCAAGGCAAAAAAGTCTAGTTCTCGATTTTTTAAAAATAATCCTTCCCCCACACGCTATGTAAAATATACTTTGCACTAACTGAAGTATTGAATAGTTCAAATAGCAGGCCTCAATTCAATTTGGAACAACTTTTAGGAGGGATTAAATATCATCTTACGCGTTAAAAACGCAAAATATATCGCGTGAAATTTGTCCCAAACTGGCAACCTGTCAACCCTAATAACTTTAACTCAAAATAAGAACAGATTAAAAAATCTTTCTATATTTGAGTTCAAGACAGCATTGTTTTTCGGATGATATAAAAATTTGTCAAAAATGGCTAGTTAAGAAGATTATCTGGAGAAAAAAAATACCCCGGGCACAAATATTTCTTCATTTTCTTTGAAAATCGGAACATCAAATTTTTTTTCCAGCCGTATAACACCTTCAAGATTGTGACAAAAAAAAACATTTTTAATCCTTAAAGTAATACTAGCCCTTAGAGCTGGTCCGTTATGTCCTTTCATTAATTTAAGACGCGGAAATATGAAATGGAACTTAACAATGGGTTTTAGAAAAAAAACTGGTGTTAGCATCACTGTCAGAAACATTATAACAAGAACATTGAGGCCTAGTAGCCTAATTTTTGCAAATGCTTGATTAGTAAATACAGTGCTGTTTCGAATTATCTGGACAAACTTGACATTTTTAATGCTTTTTTTTCAAATTGGGTTTAATTTAGACAAAATATGATTCAAACAATTCTTGCCTGAAATTTAGGCCATATTAATATGAAGCTTTTCCAAAATTTTAAGCCAAAAAAAATTATTATTATTTTTTAAGTCGATGAAAATTTGTGCCAAAACTACTGGCTGGTTCAAATGCTGACACAACTAGGTCAAATTGATCCTCTTATGTAGCTTGATGAAAATTGAGAATTGTATAGCTTCCAAAAATGTGTTCAAAACCTTTGAAATTGTTCAAATATATACAAAGAATGATTTATTTTTCAAAAAAAAACTTTTTTTGGCTGTCAAACGAAAATATAATTTAAAGATATTTATACAAATTTGAGATTATACCCTTGTTTAACTTTGTTGTGCAACATACAAGGCTAACTGTGATATAACTTTGTCAGCATCAAAACCAGTAAGTAGTTTTGGCGTATTTTCTGATTGACTGAAAAAGCCAAAATTGACCGTTTTTGCGGCAAATTATAGGCCCCGACTTTTGTGCCATATTAAATCTGCTCAAATTCTCAGCAAGATTTATTTTTATCAATTGTGGTAAAAACACCTCAATTTGAAAAAACACGCGTTTTAAACTTCATTTTTTATTAGTTTTATCCGGATAAATTAAATAATTTTATGTTTCTCCGCGAAAGTTTGTGCGTGGAAATCCATCATGTGCGAAGGACCGACGGCGCAAAAATTTTGACAACCAATCAGAGCTCCGTATTTAAAAATCTAGAGAAGCAATAACTTCAATCAGTTTTCGAAAGTTTAAGGACGATGATTGGTTGAACTTTTTCGCGCATTCGCCCTCTGTTTAAGCCAATTATTTTTCGAATTTCAATTAGCTTTGACTTATCGTAACTGAATTATAATGTTGTGGTCTGATAAAAGATTAGCCTCTGCGGGCAGTACAACAGTGCCGGAAATGAAAAAGTGTTCCACAGTGCCGAAAATTGATGATTTTCGGCACTGTTGAACAATTAAATTATTTTCGGCACTGTTGTGCTGCCCGTAGTGGGGCGTTCAACAGTGCCGAAGTACAAGAGTGCCAAAAATAAAATTATAGATCAACAGTGCCGAAAATTATCAATTTTCAGCACTGTTGAACACGTTTTCATTTTCGGCACTGTTGAACGCACCCGCCTCTACTCTGCAGAAGCTCATGCTGCTAAAATAGCGCAGAAACATTTACATAGATACTGTCATGAAATATATTTTTTTCAACATCGGAGGGTGATTTGACATTGCTTCAGTAAATAAAATCAATCACTATTTTTCAAATTTTCTAATATCTTAACATATGAAAGTTTTGGTTGCTCTTTATTAGTTCGCAAGTGTATAAAATATTCCGGAAACAGTTCAATTATCTGTCTATTTCGGAACTTATTCTTACAATAAAGGAGGTTTGGTTGTTCTTTTTTAGTTCACTGCTTTTCAAAGTAGTCCGTAAAGGTGGCGTCCCTCATGCTTGAAATTAATTTTAGCTTACTTTCAGCCAATCAGAATAGTATTCAAAACCTCTAAGTAAATCGCGAAAATCTCTAAGTAAGAAAATAAATCCAGGCCATTAGTGTTAATATTGACCGATTAGATAAAAAGCAGATGAGTTTTCAGGACTGAAAAATTCTTATGAACTTGAACTCATATCTTGATGTTCATCTGAATCGTATTGCGGTTGTAACCCGCAATTTGTTAAATTTTTTTATTATTTTCTACTGATTTAA